GTGCCGCAAGGTAGCCCCATGTCTCCGGTACTATTTATGATTTATGCCGGAGTAATTCTGGACCCAACTAGCAGCCCAAAAGAGATGGACACAACTTACATCAATGACGATGCGCTGGTGCAAATATCCAAAACACCAGGCTTTACAATCAAGAAAATGGAGGAACGAATGAGAGAAAGACTAATTAAAGCTGAGCCACTCCAAATCAAATACGATCCGGATAAATCCGATCTGATCTTCTTCCGGCCCACCACATCATCCATACAACAACCACGACTTCCAGTCAAAGTTAACAACATCGATATATACCCCAAGGAGAGGCTGAAATACGTAGGAGTCTGGATAGATCCAACCCTCTCCTTCCGGCCCCATATCGAAGCAGCAATCGCAAAAGGCCTAAAAGCCCTCCACCAAATCCGAAACACCGCCCGCCAGCCAGGGATAACAGTCAAGACAGTTCATCACCTAATAACACAGGGCTTCCTTCCAAGCCTGCTCTACGGATCTGAGGCTTGGTGGACTGGCGCAGACCACATCATTAGATCGCTAGAACCACTATACAACGAAGCTGTCCGGATCATCACGGGCCTACCTCGATGGACCAAGAGAGCTAAACTCCTCCGAGAAGCAGGACTACCCCCCCTAGAACACCTCCTAACATATCGCTCAAGAAAGTACGGAACCAGAATACTCTGCACCGAGGCAACCCACCCTAACAATGAATCCCTAATCGAGCTCCTCCCATACAGAGAAGCAAACATCAAAGGGACAGGCCTACACCGAATCGCTTCCCTCCTACTCCCATATCAAACCCCCGGAAATGCGAGAGACAAGTGGAATCAAAACAAACTACTACGCGACCACCTGTTGGAAGAATGGAATACGCAACCAATACCGGACTACCATCATCGGGGGGATTTCCGCCCCCCTTCCAAGATTGCGAAACTCACCCTAGCGGAAGCGAAAAACGTTTTTCGAATCCGGTGCCAAACTACCCGAATCGATAAACACGCGGTATATACAGACCCCGAACCATGCCAGTGTGGTATGGAAAACTCAGCGAAACACACACTTATGGAATGCCTAGCGTGGGCTCGAATCCGCGCCCCTCTGATAGAAAAGATCCCCGGAGCGATGACCTGGGAAAACTGGATGTTTACAAACTTGAAAACGGACCTTATCTTACAATTTGCAAAAAACTCTCAACTCTCGAAGTGGTACGAGTCGGCGGAAGCGGAGGCGGACCTAGAAGAGGGGATGGAAGAAAATGATTAGGGACGGGATTAGGAAAGGGTGGTTTCCTTTGTACCTTTTTAACTTTGGTTTTACTTCGTTCTGATGGATCCAGCGCCCGAGTTCGCTGAGATATGTTATTTCTCCTTGTCGTTGGGTTGTTTCTGGTTGAGTGTCGTTCCGGAATTTCCTTATTCTTGTTGATGTTCGTTCGTGTTCGCTTTTGTTCGTGTTTGTTTGTTTGTGTTTGTTGTTTTCTTTCCTTTCGTTCTTTCGTTTTGTTCGTGTTTTAGGCGGTCGGGTCGGCGTGCGATAAGTCTTGTACTTCAAAGCAATATAAGTTTCTTCTTCTTCTTCTTCTGTACTTTACAGTCACGAATACTATTTGGTTTGAGCTAAGTCATAGGGTTTACCCGGTATACACAACCATCCATAGTCCATAGTCCACAGTCCCCGTTCTTGCCTTAGGAGTACCCTTCGGCCCCATAGTCCATAGTCCACGAACCTCCTACGTCCACGTCTTCGCCTCGGTTGTATTCCTTGGCTTCATAGTTCCATCGCCCATAGTCCCCGTTACACCTGATCGCAGGCTGGACAATTTAAAAATTATCTCTGGGTACTCTTGAAATTAGCATCGGTGTTTTGTGCAGGCATAGCTACTAGGCTTTTGGGTAGTGAATTTTTCGAAAGGGTTTTTCTGACTCTCCCAGCAACTGTCTAGTCATATGATGCATGCCGGCTACTGTCTGCTATTGATGGGAGAATTGGTTTAGGGGGCCGATGTTGAAGTAGTTTGGGGGGAACTACATGTACGCTACTGGTACCTCTCTATTTAAGCAAGCGTACTACAACATAATCTATTCATATAGGCTGTGAACCGCAACATGATCTATATATGTAGGCAGAAGCCGCTTGAATGGTTGCAACCGGCGCGACCACCCCAACCTCAACTCCAACCCTAACCCCAACCCCAGCGCGCATGTGTGCGACCGGTTTCTAGGTGGCAGTTGGTTGCTAGCTGAAATACATTAGTTGCCAGCTACAGAACCCAAAAAACTCTACTCTTATTCTTTTTTCTTTATTTAACACAAAAAAATATATAAGCAAGAAAATTCTGTATACAATATTTTTTATTCAATATAAGTTTTCATTTTACAATTCTGTTGAATGTGAAAAATTATAGTTGTAATTCAATAATAATATTTGTAATCGATAATTAGTATTTACTGAAATAATTAATTAAATATTATTAGAAAATTACAATAATAATTCTTTGTAGACTATATTACTTGTAAACTTTTCTTCTATCTAATTTTTAGAGTTAACAAAAACTCTTGCACTTTGATGATTCAGAACTTGGGAAAGACCTGTAGGTGAATGAGGATGAGCAAATATAGAGGAACGAACATTGAAAACAATACGATCCAAAGTTACACATTGACAACCACCAAATATGATTGCATATGCTAATCGTTTATTAAATTGTTTTCTCTGTACTGTCCGAAAACAATATTTTAATTGGAATTGGAAAAGTATTCTAGGTAAGCAATATAAGTATTATTTGATAATAGTTCTAATTTAACAAATTCTAGATGCAATTTCTGAATAACTACTCAAGCATATTTTACTAAGCATAAATTAATAGAAAGATCTCGCATAATTGAACAAACAAAATTAACCTTAGGTTTCACTTCATGGTTCGGTATTTCAAATTCCCTAAACAGAGCTAAAAAATCCATAATCTCTCTAGATGGTAATTCGATCCTCGTCGATATACTGTGAGTAGTGTCTTTGTAAATACAGTCGGGACTATAATAGACTCGTTGTGGTTATAGTTTGGTATATATATTTATACTTTAAATATATATCATTTTACCTTCTGAAGATATAAAAGTACCGAATATATTTTATCTAATAAGTATATAGATATACCGATATGAAATGTGTTATTTAAAGTTTTTGATTGGCCAGGTATTATTAGATTGCTTTTTCTTGGTAGTTTGCTTAGTAATATTTTGATTAGTAATATTTTGATAATATTATTTTTTGTTGATATAAGCAACAAATCGGGGACCAGCTTTTTTTTTCTGTATTGATATAATTGGCGACTCGGGGACCTAACTTTTTCCTTCTATTGAATTCGGAGATATTGCTTTTTCCCTCTATTGATGTTAGTGGCGATTCGGGTATTTTGCCTATTCTTTCTATTGAAATCGGGGACATTGCTTCTTCCCTCTATTGATGTTATTGACGATTCGGGAATCTTGCTTTTCCCTCTATTGAATTCGGAGAAATTGCTTCTTCCCTCTATTGATGTTAGTAGCGATTCGGGAATATTGCTTTTTCCCTCTATTGATCATATTAGTGACGTTTCAGAGACCTTACCTTTTCCTTCTATTGAATTCCAGGACATTGCTTTTTCCCTCTAATGATGTTAGTGGTGATTCGGGTATTTTGCCTATTCTTTCTATTGAAATCGGGAACTTTTCTTTTTTCTTTTATTGATTTCTGCAAATTTACTTTTTGCGTAAATTGCTATTGATAACAAATCAAAATATTGTTAAATGTTGGTATTGATATTAGACTTAGTCAAAGTTTTGATTGTTAGAGTTTTAGTTTAAAGTTACTCTTGATCGCACATTATTTTTTAGCTTAATCAATCAATTTCAAAACTCTCTGCCTACAATATCTTCTGACACGATGCCTCAAATATTCAACGAGAATGCCTCTACCGAAATTCACTGCATGCTTGAATTCACCGACAAGTCAGACAAAATATCAGCAAGCTCGCATCCACCTCCGGGGGATTGTCCTTTTCTCCAGAGGCTGATGTCAAGACAGCTAGTCTCCCTACCCCTCCCATGTATCCTCACCACTTCGCCTAATTCTTTCAGCCTCCGGAGCAACCTGGCAGTCTCTGGAGAACTCTCCGCCTCAATTTCTTTTCGAGTCTCTCCTGTTTCCTGTTTAACCAGGCTTCTCGAGCCTTCTAAAAGGCTTCCTAGACACCCCAGTGGGCCCCCCACAACTCTTCCCAGCCACTCGATACCCTTAGACCACGCCCAAGAGGCTCCGCGAGCCTACCAAAAAGCCTCTTGAGCCCCTCTCAACCTCTCTCAACGCCCGACTCGTCTTGTAAGTCTACAGGCTTCTCGAGCTCTCCCAAACGCTCTTCAGGCCCTACTCCCCCTCTCTCTAGGCGTCTCACTTCCCACTAAAATCACAGGCCCCTCGAACCTTCCAAAAAGCCCCTCACGCTACTCCAGATCTCTCAAGCCGCCCAGCTTGTTACAAAACCTGACACCTAAGACTTTTACTTGAGCCTTTACCAGCACTTGGATTTCTTATCTGTTGAATCTTACATTGCTCGTGTATATATATATCATTTAAGAGACTAGTCTTTAGAAGCATTTGCCTCGGCTCCATAAGCCCTCGTTAACCTTATATATGGAATTGGTTTCAAGTTCTTGAATCTACTCTAGTGTTTACCAGCCATTATCCCTGCCCCAGTTCGAACAAATATGCCATTCCCAAGACGCTCCGAGTATCAATTATCCAAAATCTTTGCCGGAAGCACCTCGCGACTCTAAGAAGTCCATGCGAGCCTTCAGGAAGGCCCCGATCCCTTGCCTCCAGCAGCTCAACCAAGCAAAGTTGATATGTCTTTCTAGTAATGATATCACGTAGTGTGAATATTGCCTTAGGTGCCCTAGTAAACGTCCCTGAAATTCTCCTCAGGGGTCCGTAGTAGCTACCTTAATCCCAGCTCAATCATTCCGAACTGCCCTTTTCCTGAACAAAGCCTCTCCAGTATATCGTATGTTATGTATCTCGTAGCTATCACTCTTTTGGAATACTGATACTGGCACCTGCAGGTATTTGAACCACCTCACTGTGTAGCCAAAAAGGCTCAATAAGACTCCTTCTTCCTGTTGTAGTCCATGACCACATTCCGATAAAGCTCTGGGGAGTGTAGTTCTGTTCATCTTGATAATGTCTGCGATATCAAATAACCTATTCACCGAATTGTCCGCCATCGTCATCTTAGGTCTCTGTTGTGCATCACCGACCAGCAATCGCTCACTGCCTCCTCTTTGTCGGTCTTCATTTTTGAAAATCTCCAACAGGTCTCTCAAGCTTTCTCGATGCCTCGGCAGGCCCTCATAATGCTCGGGCAGGGAGAAAACAATATCTTTCAAATTCAACACTCTCATCTCCATCACCATATGCATTGAGTGGTAATCAAGAATCTGGACCGTCGCATCTATCTTATTCGAAGCAGCGTAACTCATCTTAATTTGCTGCCGATGAGCCAACTCACTGACATGCGTTGAGAACATGGGTATATTTCGGAATCGCTCCACATGCTCTCTAAAGTATAATAGTAGATGCATTTTAATGAAATTGAAATGGGACCACTCCCGAATCTCTTGAAGCTCTTCTAAGCCTCTCTAAAGGCTTCCGGAGCCTTGTAGTGCTTTTGTTCGATCCTTGGCGTCCTTCCTCATTCATTTATAGGCTCGGAATTCGAGAAATACATCTTTATGCTTGTGGAAGTCTTCGAAATAGCTTTGCGGATACTCTAGAGTCTTCTTTGTGTGGGTTGTATACTGTGCAATAAAGTGGAAGTCAATCAACGCTCGTACACACTGCAAAGCTCTACTAAAGTCTTTCCATGCCGCCATTAGAGGGGCTTGTAAAGCCACCGCAAAGGCTCCCAAAACTATGCGGCCAAGATGTCGCATTTCTTTACCATGCCACTGTGTAGTTACTCGATACGCTTTGTTGGGCACAGCGAGCCCTGGATAAGGCCCGATAGAGGACCAAGCTTGATCAAACTCCTTTATTCGATTGTGTTTCTTAAGAAACCCCTGAACCCACTCCATCATGTGTTTCAATAGTCTCAAGTAGATATTGTTTAGTATGTCCGGCTTGTGTAGATCATAGGTGCTGGTCCTCGGCAAGGCCCAAAAGGCATTGTAGAGGGTCTTTAGAGACTTTGATACAAGGTATTCCACGGGTGCTGCGTTAGACCTATTATCCTCATATTCCTTTACGATCTCAAAATATCGCTCCTGAATCCGTAGCGGGCTTTCGTGAAGGCTTCCCAAGCCTTTGAAATCAACCTCATATTTTGGGCAGGCATGATTGTTGATATTTTGTAGCGAGGCGTGTTCTGGCTGATCCGCAATCCAGGCACATAGTATAGGGAAACACAGGCGATCATAGCCAAAAGCGCACGCTATAAGCTCACCCTTTTGTGCAGGGCCCTGAAGGCCTTCCAAAACCTCTCCTAAAACTTTGTGAATGGCCATCTGTTCTCTCGACATTGTTCATTTGCGCGTACTCCCAATTTCCGTGGAACCGGTAAAAGAGCATGAAGTATGAATGCAAAACTGGAGGGTTTATTGCGTATTTCTGAAGTGATATTTCCAATGGTTAAGTAAACAGGCGAGGCCTTCTTGTCACCACTCAAATTCGTGAGGTGCGTTCCATCTGATGCGCAAATGACTGGTACCACTGTTGATCGCTCTGGCAGAGTATTCTTAACCCCCATTAGAAAAGGCTCAGTAAGCATTAACGAGGGCTTTACAGACCTGCATCTCCCACCATCATTCTGCCATATGCATTTCACCGTACATTCGCTCGCCCAGTCCATTGTACTCCATCGTTGGGGCATACACTAAAGATTCTCTGAATGCACGTTGCCCCAGAAGAAATCGCACCACACTCATAGGGTCCCGATAATAATATGCAATCTTCTCGCCCCCCAACTCGACCTCTGAGTGCATCCAACTTTCTTTTCCTAAACCTTCCCTAGAAACCATCTCGTCAAGGTGGCATGTGAAGTCTTTTCCATTATGGTAGGAGCGTTTCCCTATGCCTGCTGCTCGAAAAAAATCGTCTATTTGACCCTGCGATACATGGGATCGCAGGAACCAACGTGATAATTCAAACTCCTTTGCTGACTTGAAAGGTTGCCATGGGTTGGACAGAAGGCTCTCTGAGCTCTCGGAATATCCTGTGGAGGGGAACAGTTGCTTCCCTGCATCCTCATACATGGTAGTTGCTTATCTGAATATGCTGTCTCGTTCTGTCAACGAGTCTGTGTCATCGTTTGACTCATTATCAGACTCGCTTTGGTCTACGCCCATGGGACCCAAGGAAAAGATCCCAATATTCAACAATTCATTTCCATATAGTTCTCCTAGGCCTTCTACAAGGCTCACCGAATCCTCGGCACGACGTGTAAGGTGACTGTTGTACCATTCAACTGTGTTCTCTGCATGGACTCTTGAAAGATGTCAATCGAAACTGTCAGGACTTGCGTAGCTCCTTATGCAGAAAGGGCATCGTGATCTCATTGTTGATTGATATTTGATGTTACCGCTAACACAGAGGTGTCCGGGTGGGCTCTGAAGACCATCCAAAAAGCTCCAATGACTTGGCACGAATGATTTCTCAACTTAGTATTGGCAAATATCTCTCCACACGCTAAACCAAAAACTGACCTAATGCATGGTGGTTAGGCTTATTGAACTCATAATTGTGTTGGTTAGGCCTTTGAAAAGGCCCGAAACACCAACCCGAGTGATATAGCATGACCCAACTTCAGCAAACAATACCAACTCGATATATGACGTAGTTTAGGATCCTCATCTAGGAGAATATATAGGCAACCCCCTCCACACTTGCGGAGCTTTCTAGTAAGCCATTCTCACTCTTGATACTCCCCCATGCCCCCAAGTTAAGCTAGGGTCAGGATTTCAACTAAGGTTCACTTGAATACAACCCCTGGATATATAAAATGGTACATTGACCTTTCTAACTCAAAATACATACCACTCACATATTTATACACAGCCTCGACCTTTGGAAGAATTCTCCAATTGCCCTGCAGCTTGGTATTCGTCCGACGAATACTGACGAGAACACAAACGTCCGTACATTAGCAAATCCACCGCAACCCCAATAGCACCCCCTCTGGCCTTCGTCAATCCTCTAGTCGAAGCATCTACTCCGATCGAAGAAGCACCTGCAGTCGAAGACCAGGCCTTTCCGGAAGCTCCCCAAGCCTCTCAAAGCATACAGGCATACGTGGACTGCTTGGTCCTAGCATTTAACTATTTCGAGGGAGGCGAAGAACCACTTCCAGTTGAAGAGGACTCCCAGGACTCTGAAATCAATGATTCCGAAGACTTTGACACGGTCGCTCTCCTAGCAGCATACGAAGCATACATACAGCAAATCGAGGACCGCCACACCATCCTTGCTGCAACACAAACAGTTGTACCAGTAATCGCAAGCAGAGCTAGTAGAGCCGATACAGGATCTCTCCGGAAGCCTCTCCTGTACCTGAAGGCCAAACAGGCTCTCAACCACGCATATCCAGCCTTGAGGTAGCCAGCTCCACCTTGCAAGAAGAGCAAGAATGCAAAATCTCCAAACTCCCAGCTCCGGATCGACCCCCCTTTGAATATACTGGTAATCCTGAAGAAAGTGACGCCGAAAGCGACACAACTATCCACGATGAATCCGATACCCCCCAATCAGCAAAAGCTCGTTCCAAGGCTCCTGCGACCCCTCAAAAGGCTCAAAAGGCTTCAGCCGATTCACCAATCATGCCACCACGCAGGGGATATAACGGCGGTCCTTTCTAAGAGAAATAGAATCGGATAGAATAGAGACAGCCGTGCAAGATAGACAATCAGGTTACAGATTATTCAAAGATACTATCGCTAAAACTCAATAATCTTTAAGGGCTCTGCTACCGATAAGAATTTGGTTTTTCTTTCTGATGAAGACTCAAGAGAACAGGACTGAAGGGCGAGAATGAACCTGAGTACTTATACTCCGAAGGATTCTATTCTCTGCTCCTAACTCCTTACTAAGTTCCGGTGGGCCTTTCCTCGGTGCCGGAAACAATACCACCGCTACCCCGCTTTTCTCTAAGTGTCAGCAGGTGTTTCCGATACCCAAGGCAACCACCCTTAGTCAAAGCCTTTGTAACACCTGCAGCCTTGACTGCCACACAACCGAGGACCTACATGAATGAGCTACCGCTCAGGTGTAAGCTTAATCATTGCTGTAGAGCTTTCGCTTATTGTAGACTTCCCTAGCATAGTCCCTGCCCTTCGGTGGACTCACAATGCTTAGAGGATACAGAGGATCACCGAACGATCAGAGCTTCACTCTGGCCGGTCTTCTAGTCACTGGCGAGGCATAGACTCGTCAGTCATTGCTCCCATGAATAGATCCCCTTCCTAGCGCCCGAAATGTAGATACTCTAACAGCTGGTAGCTAACCACACTGCCGGTACTTGCATATCACCGTGCAACTGGCCTCTAACAATCACTCTCAGCATGTAACCGGGCCCTGTGTGTACTCATACACCAGACAGTTGAAATGGCTCCGTTACAGGGGAAGAGCCCCAGCGGCCTACAAGATGATCATTATTAACCAGATGAGGGAGATTCTGCAACTTACTAGAAGAGATAATGTCTACAGGGCTCTCTGTACTGTGCTCAGTGACGAGATTACAAGAATTGGCTGGGTCAGCAAGACAACCTCTGGATTTGATTTATTCGAGCAATTGAGGGATTGGCTTATAAATCACAAAGTTCTCAAAGCCTTAAAGCCAAAGTACATGAGGGAGGGCTCGGAGGCTTCCGATAAGATCAAAACAGCTCTCAGTTATCCCATTAGTGACCGATCCCACAAATGAACAGAGCCCACGTCTGTGGAGCCAGGGCTTTAGCCGGGATCCATGAGGGGGGAGGCGAGTACAATGAGAATCCTACCTTAGCTGCGGCAGAGGTTTTTAAGGCCATGGGAATACTCTACAGGCCTGCAATAACCGTACATGTTATTGACCCAACGAATATGGGAGCCGTCGCTAGCGCAGCTTACTGTGAGATTGACTGGTACGGTACAGCAGCACTACCGGTGTCTATAGACGTCCTCGAGGAGGTATCCTTAGCAGAGTTGGCCAAGATTGCAATGAAGCGTGTCCCAAAGATTGCCGATGGTGTGCCCCCGAGGGTTATCCGGGCCCTCTATGGAGCCATGTCAAACGGAGCCCCTAGGGTGCCTGGGGCAGCGTATGCACTTAATCCGGAAAATGTTCGTATTGGCGAAGCGGAGAAGTTGGAGGCATGGCTCAAGACCAGTGAAGCCAAACCTTTGAGGCCTTATGCTGTGCTCCATAGGCCTCGTGCACTGCTTGGCAAGCCTAGACATAGGCCCGAAACTCCTCCGCCAGATAGGTATGACGACCTGGATGAAAATAATTTCCAAGTGATAGAAGTCGATAAGGAGGAGCAAATGCTTACCTTTATTGATAAGGTAAATAACACTGGTCTGAGTTTTGCTATGCCCCAAAGTGATGCCGGTTTCCAGGAGTTGATGGCGGTATTTGATGAATGGGTAGAAAGATACCAAACGATAGCGCGTAGGCTAGTTAGGCGATATAGGTCGAAGTTTCCCAATGGCATTGGCTTTATCTCTTGCCACTATGATCGCTTCAAGATTTGGACATTGGCTGAGATAAACCATCTATTTAGGCATAGCGGAGGTATAGGTGGAGACAAAAACGATGTCGAAGGAGAAGGCGACGACGATGAGGATGATGATTACGGTAACCGATAATGCTAGGGCCGGCATGTTACCCTATTCGAAAGGCTCAAGGAGCCTTCTTGGGGGATTATTGGTTTATTGATCAGTTTTTTTTTTTTTATTAGCCAAGTGCCGTATCTGGTAGGGCAGTTGCCTTTTTAGGCTTTTACATCTGTTTTGGAATTAGCTTACCATATCTATTTGGTGAGAGGGCTACACGTATGTTCGGCTAGAGAATGCTTGAGAAGCATTCTTCATAGCTTGTTAGGCAGTTTTTTTCTTTTTCTATGTCTGGTGCAGCTGCCTCTTTAGACTTACTTATCTGTTTTAGAGTTAGTCGCCTCATCTTTTCCGCTATTAGAATATAGTTTAGGATTTATCATTACTTATAAGATTTGTTTTTCCTCCCGCGTTTTCTTCATTGGCGATTCAAAAGGCTTCCTAAGCCTCTAGACGATAGGCGGGTGACTATAAGCGGTATAGGTCAGCCCAAAAAAAATGCAGAGTTTTCTGCTTGCCAAGCATTCTGATGACCACATATAGCTTAGCCAACTAAAAGAACAAAAAAAGAATATTAGAGGTTGCTAAGTATACTGTATTAATAGTGAGCCTCGGAAGCATTCTTCAGTGCCTACCTGGCCATTCTTTTCCCCACAAATATTATCATTACTTCCCAAACGCAAAAAACCACCAAACGTGCCATTGACGATCGATATGGTGCAACCAATACTACTATCTCCACCTCTGTCAATAAACGAATTAGGGAGGCGATGAGTGTTTCAAGCGTCGCTAGCAGTGTGAGGTCGGGATCACCTACAGAGCTGGATACTGACCAAGATTCCTTTCATGGCCCCTCGGGCTATCAACATGGCCCATTGAGCTCGCCCGGGGGCCAAATATTGGTAAACGGCGTTTTAGAAGGCCCACAGCCATGGATTGACTTCGACAATCACCCAGTGGTGGAGGAGGACGAGGTAGATGTCTATGAGGACGAATATGATAACTATGAAGAGCCCGGGGACGAGAATACCCCACCCATGATGCCCTTATCTGAACGAAGGGTGTCTCCACCACCTCCGCCAACACGAGCACGGCCAACACAGGCATCACCAGTACCCAGTCAGGGAATTCGTGCTGGCAAGAGGCCAAGGGAGGCTCCTGTAGCCTCCGTCAGGGCTGTTGCAGCCTCTAGGAGAAGAATTAGTGGCACAGCAGCGGAAGCAATTGCTTCATCTTCCATGGGGGTTAATACAGTACAGGTATTAACCATAACCCGTATGGTGCGGATAAGGTGATAACACCAGGCAGTATGGAATCCGTACAACGGTAACTTCAAAAAGGTCGGGGACTCCCTCCCGAGCCATGAGCAGGGCTTCCCTAACTTCTGAGCCCGCGTCTACATTACCAAGCACCTTATTTCGCTCGTCTAGTATATTTCGAAATAAACATCACATTGAACGTACACTTCCGCCTTCTCAGCCCTATCGTGCAACCCCACCCACGCAAGCATATGCCAAAGCAGTACCAGAGTCAGTTTACGGCTCTGACAGGGAGGACATGCCAGCGGAGGCAAAGCCGATTATCAGGTGTGCTAAGGGGCTTTTTTCGCGGCATACATTGCTTGAGGAGCCTTGGCCAATGCCTGAATCTCTTACCGTTAACGTCCAGCGATTTTGATTGGAGGCTAACGTTCATTTTAATACAAACATAACCCTAACTAACAGCGCGAAGAGTGAGGTAAAAGCTGATCAAGCCTCCTAGTAGGCTTGTAAGCCCTGTGCTAACTATTCACAGGTTCAAATCGCAAGTTCACGGGTGAGATCGCACCTTGTGTTTGCAATCAAAGACTTTGTCGCAAAAAGCCTCTTATACGGCTTGAAGGACCTAACCACCCCAGAGACGAGGGCTGACAAAGTTAACTATCTACTCGAGAAAGATCGTTTCATTAGTGACCCCAACAACTATGCCGTAAGAGCTCCTTTCAATGTGCTATGGGGCTTTACAGGCCATTTCAGAGGCTCAATCAGCTTATGTAAGGGTCTAACAGCTATTAGACAGGTCGTCGACACTTTTGGGCCCCAGAGATCGTGGAAGTAATATTTCTAAAATATTACAAAGGTGACAAGATGCGTGGAGCAAAGGATCCTAAGTTCGTATATGATATATTCCCGAAATTCATCTGTCTCGTTTGCACAGCTATTTGGTTTGTTTTGCGATGTTGGACGATGGGCAATTATGTGGAAGGAATGCACTTTAACCCCAGTCAGAATACCCATATCCTGTGTAAGGCTTATCAAGCCCTTTAGGAGTCCCAATGTACTAACTTTTGTCTAGCAATGTACGCCAGAATGTTCAACACATGGGGAAGAAGAACGAAGGAGAACCAGCTGGGGACTCTGGAGGTAATAAGAGAGTCTATTCAAGATAAGGTAAAGAACCTTAGACGCGCACGCAATTGACTGAGACTGACAGGCTTGCAGATTGAGTAGTTGCGAGGCCCTCGAGAGGTGATATCCAAGGTTGGAAGGGAAGAGGACGATGTGCAGTTGGCAGCAGATATCGCGGCGTGGAGGGCCGCGAAAGCGCGCCGGAAGGCTCAGCAGCACCGGGCTATATTATTGGGGACTGATGGTGGTACCTCAGAAAACCCGGTAGCGACGGGTAGGGATTTGGGCACGGCCAAGGCTCAAGAAGCCTCAACAAATGCCTCTGGCGATACTTCGCCAGGGGATAAATGATTTTCGTGTATTTTTGTGCGATGTTTTTTATTTATTTGAAGGGATGCTTTCGTTATTAGGTTCAGATGCGGGAAATTGTAAGCTATTATTACAGAATAAATTAGATTTTGGGGGGTTATGAAGCGTGAGAGACTCTCAGAGACTGAATCAATGGGGTAATGCATTCAAGAGTAGTGATCACACTCAGGAGACTCTTCGGAGGCTCAATAAGCCTTCAGGAGGGTATGGAGAGAAGTGTAATAATTTGACGTGGCCTAGGAGACCGTAATAGATAGTGTTAGTGCTAAGAATGGCATCGGGAGACCATAGGAGGGGTCGGTAAGGCCTCTGGAGAGTGTGGGCCACGAATTCAACTAGCTCATGATAATGCAGGAGGAATTGGGAGGCCATCTGGAGGGGATGAGAGATAGTGCTAAGCTTAAGAATAGCCTCATTAGACCACTAGATGGCCGAGTAAGCCCTCGGGAGAGAGTCGCGCTCCTGACTCGCTCCAGTGATCCAGCGGTAATAAGTGGGCGGTTCGGTAAGCCTTCCCAAAGGTCTTCTATGCTGGGACAACCCCTTGAGGTTTCGCTATAACTACACTGGATGAAGAGACCCGTTCGGGGAGCTGTACGCAGGAATCGCGTCCCAGAGGATTTTTCCAGATTCGGTCCAGTGATATCCAGCCTCCCAGAGTGTTTGAAAGGCTCAGGAAGCCATCCTAGCGGCATTGTGAGGCGTCGAGAGTGTAACTGGATATGATGAATGCAGGGTCCGGAGAGTGCCGAGGGGGCGTGCCTGAATCTCGCGAGAGCCTCCTGAGCATTAGCCAAGGCCCAGAAGGCCTCCCAAAGGGCCAACAGCCTCCAGAGAATTAAAGTTGGTGTGGTGTCTCCTAAGTCTCCGGTGTCTCCTGAAGACATGCACGGGTTGCTGATGAACTGGCTATCTCAAAATTTACGATTCTACTTTATTTTGCTGGAGCGATTATCTACCAAATTCAGTAATCGATGAGGAAGATATACCATGCCGAATCGTTTGTTTTGTCAGCGATTGTCTTACAGAATCTACTGAAAACTCTGTTAGAATATATTCAGGCAGATTCTGCGATATGGGTAAAGACAATCCAGCTATTTCTTTACTGAATAAGAGCAAGTAAGTAATTTGATTTACTGTGTAATATATTAGAACTACTAATTTTCCACTTAGATTTGCTGGTGACCCGAAACAGCCACGATTTGACGATATAGCCCCTGCACCCTTCTGTGCCACTATATACTCAGTCGGGAAGGTTGTAGGACACCATAGGGTACTATCAAGTCTCTCCCTATAGGCTGGAGATCCTTTGATTTACGATCCTCCTACTAGATTTAGAGGCTGCCTCCAAAACAGCTTCCCGAAAGTATTTTGTTATTAGGTGGTATATACCAGCAGGAAAGAGGTGGGAGAGCACAAAATTACCCCAAATCGATAGTGTAATCCAAATCACCGGGAAATTAGTTGGTAGAGTCATCGTTGATAATGCATCATCACATTCTTTTCTTGGTTGTATAGTGTCGTCATTAAACTATATTTCAGTAATGCAATCGGGATTGGAGGTTGGGTCTGTTGGAGAAACATCAGGAAGATCGGAGTCTAAAAATATTGGAAGATCTTGGGGTGCTCGGGCTTAGAAAAGATCTGCGATGGATGATTCAAGTTTGTATTCAAGTTCTCCTTCCCCTCCAAAATTCACTTTTAGCTCATCTTCTATTTTCAAACCTACTACACCAGCCAAAAAGAAAGCTTTGAGTGTATCTAATGACTGTTCTGTCGATGACGAGTTTGAAGAGATTGGGGATGACATTATTGAGGATGTTGGTTCTGAGTAGAATAGGTGTGGTATTGGATATATGGGTTTCTGAGTCATCATTAGCTATTTTATTTTTAGTCGGGAGAGTGTATTATTACCAAGGATATATATAACTATCGGGTATCCCTCTTTAGGAATTTATCGAACAGATTTCTATATTAAATACAATTTTTATTGCAAAAATGCCAAGAATCAATTCCAGACAATCAACCAATGATTTCAGGATTTCGAATCGGATCCGAACAAGAAGAAATAGAAACTCACAAGCCCCCAGCTCACAATTAGACCGAATTGCGATGCGATTAAATTCCCGAGCTGAAGATCAAATTACAAATTGCTGAGAAACTAAACAAAACCAAATCAATATAGAAACAAATTCACCATCTAGCAATTGGTGGGATATTTTACCTACAAAACAACTCATCTCCACCCATATATTATTAGTTGATCAAAACAATGCACTTATTGTGGTGCAGCATTATTAACTAGTGAAAATAATGGTTGGTGTTGTACTAATGGAAAATATCGATTACCCTCCCTACCAGTATATCCACCTGATACTGAAACTTAATTTGAGCAATATGGCTCTCAGTTGAGTAGGATTAGCTGAAAGCTCAATAACATTTTTTCATTTTCAATTTTGGGAGTTACGGGTGGATTTCGACAGTTACCGACACCTTCAAATGTTGCTATAACAGGACGAGTATACCATCAGTTGTTGGATGCCAATCAAGGGCAACATTCAATTCGGTGGTTCATTCACGATGAGGATTCAAGAGACTCACTAGCTCTTGAGCTTGGTGCACCCTCCTCCCTAGTTAACAGCTTTCGAAACCTACTAGAAGATATCAATCCTTTTGTTTACCATCTCCGAGCAGCATTTACCACTGCAATAGATACCCTACTTGCACTAGAATTATATACACAAACAAGTGGTGGAGAAATTGCTACGATTATACATGGCAACAATATACAGAAAGTCTACCCTCGGAGTATATTGGTTTAAAACAATATCCTCGATCGTCCAAAAGCTATCAGTATATTAATTCCCTTTACGAGCCATTACAATATCCTGTTTTCTTTCCTCATGGTACACCTGGTTGGGACTGGAAATCCGATATCAGTCAAATTCGATGGTATAGAACCAGACTCACAACAGAGAACCGATTTCTGAGGTTTGGTAGATTGTATGGAGAATACTTGGTGGATATGTACTCGAGAGTGGAAGATGAAAGATTTGACTATATACGAAAAGGGTGAGAGAGACAATATATTCAGCAATCTGCAAATGCAGAGGCAGAAGAAGATTTACCTAACGAGAAAGGCACGACACTACCCAACTCTTTTCTAGGTTCCCGAGCATGGGCACATCAGCAAGCTCGCGTATTACCCCGGGTGTAGCACCTTCGTCCTGGCAGACATTCCACGCCCCGAGCGCCTAGCGAGTCTGGTACCGCCAGTGCATAACGCTCGAGCCCGGCTCCACTACAGGAGCGCCTACCTTTCCAGCACCGCCAGAAGATATGGCTCACGTCCGGAGGGCACTCGCCAATGCTCTGCTCGCCTGTGCGGCCATGAAATTACCTCCCCCTCCGGAGATGCTAGGATGGAGTGACCCCACCCACAGTACCTATGGAACTTTTGCTACTTTTGATTACATCAGTAATACCACGCGAGCACTTTCCAATGCTCTCACAGTTTCCTTGAATGCTCCCACGGCATGACTAATACTCTCATGGCATGGCAATTTTTCTCATGGCACCGCGAATGCTCCCCCAAATGCTCCCGCAAATGCTCACGTGAATGCTCACGTGAATGCCCACGCGAATGCTTACCCAAGTACTCCCAGAGCACTCACCAATACTCACAGAGCTGAGGCATTCGTCATACCCACTCAAGGTGAGGCAACCCTCACCTTGCCCCCTTTGTATTAATACGCCGTCGTTAAAGGATAGGAAGGCACCAGCTCCTCAAATGATATCTAACGTAGGTATCCTCAACGCCGCTGTACGGTCAGTCGCGGGATACTAATACGAGCACTGTCCTGTATACTGGTGATGACTAGCCAACCTTTGACGGAGGTGTATGTTTCTGTCAATTCGTGAAAGGCATAATTAGCCTTGAGGTCCAGGCCATGGTACGGCTCGTCTGAAAAGCTCAATGTCCATGCATAAGCAGCAAACATGGACTGGCATTGCCCTCTTGGAGCGAGCTTGCTGGATAGACAGACTCAGATACTGAGCGGCGGAAACTTTACCTCTGTCTTCCAATCCGCATGCATAGCAGAACGATATGAATTTTGAATTAGAGAGTCCAATTGGGTCTAACGTTCCCAGAGCACTCACGAATGCCTTCACGGCCTTGCAAGCATTCAACTAAATTCATTCCATGTATGCAAGTCTATCCTAGTATTTACCAAACAATCACCAGTCTCCACCTCAAACAAATGGGCCATTCCCAATATACTCCGAATATTAACGACCCACATCCTCTTCCTCCTCCTCCTACAAACCTTCAGGAGCCTATGTGAGCTATCAGCGATACCACGATCCTTTGCCTCGAGTAGCTGCAATATACATAATCTATGTGCTCGTCCCCCACTGTCCCGCAGCTTGAACAAAGTCTCCACACATCCTGGTAAGCGTCCCTGAAACACTCTCCACTTCTCTGAGGACACTACCGATACCTATACTCAATCCTTTCTTATTTTCCCTTTCCTAAAAGCCGCGTTTCCCGTACACCTAATATTATGAACCTCCGACACCTCAGCTCTTTGGAAGATTGGTATCGGAACCTGCAAACATGTGAACATCTCCACCCAACGCTCTAAAATGCTCTCAGAGCTTCAGGCAAAGCTCTGAGAGCATCCTGCATCCTCTGCATACTCCTTTATCAGGTGATATAATATGGTATGGCTTATTTGCAGTCTATCCGCAATATTGAAAAGTCTTTCCGATTCCGTGGAGGGGTTGCAAAGACGCCTTAGAGGCAACCCTCCTTCTACTATTGATCATTCATTTGGAGTTTTTTTCCGTCTTCGATTTTAAAAATCTCAAGTAACTCCTTCAGATTATCTCGATGGCTCCAAAGGATGTCGTCAGTACTTTCAGGACCTCCAACAATGTCTTTCAGATTCAGCATTCGAATCTCTAACGCCAACCCCCCCTCTCTCATAGTCCAGTATCTGCGTTGCAGCATCGACCTTGTTGGATGCTCCGTATGCCTCCTTTATCTGACGTATATAGGCAAGTTCGCTGATATCGGTGGAGTACTGGGGAATGCTTCCAAAACGCTCGACAAGTTCCCGATAGTGCGATAACATGTGCAATTTGATGAAGTTGAAGTGAGACCTTTCTCGTATCTCGCAAATCTTCTCTGAGTTTCGCTGAGAACTCTGGGAGCCTGAGGCATTTAAGGCTTTTGTCCGATTTCTCGCATCCTTAACCGTCCTCTTGTACGCCCGGAATTCTAAAACGATATCCTTGTGCTTATAGAAATCCTCGAGATAGCTCTCCATATAATTCAGTGTGCTCATCATATGACTCCCATACTGAGCCATTAAGTGGAAGTCGATTAAGCCTCGTACATATTTCAATGCCTTTGCAAAGTCACCCCTAACAGCCAACCCCGGATTTCTCAAAGCAGCCGCGAGTGCTCCAAGAACGACCCGCCCCAGATTTCTCATCTCCTTCCCTTGCCATTGGGTTTTGATACGATATGCCTTGTTCGGTACTACCAGTTCAGGGTAAGGCGCAATCGAGGCCCAAGCCTTGTCAAATTCCTCCAATCAATTGTGCTTCTTCAAGAAAGCCTGAACCCACTGCATCATGTGCTTCAATATCCCTAAGTAGATATTGTGCAGAATGTCCGATTTGTTGATATCGTATAGATTAACCCTCGGTATACCCCAGGGTTTTTGCGAGGACGATAAATCTCTGACTGCGGATCTTGACGCATTCCGAGATGCTCGGAGAATACCCATGAGTGCTATAGGAGGTTGGTTGGTTCCGACAGTGCCCAGTACGAAGTGATTAGTGGCCAACTTCATGGTATTCATACCGAAGAGTAGAGGGAGGAGGTAGAAGAGGAGCCGGAATTACCTGTAGTGGGGGATTACGAAAGGGGGGGGGGAGCAGGATGTGTAGAACAATCGCGAGTGTGAATGGAGATAGTGGGGGATTTGTTTTTTTCCATATATTGTATTAGGGTTAGTTAAGGGGTTAAATAGCGTATTGTTTTAGTATTAGGTGGAGGATCACGGTGTTGAATACACCAATTCTAAAAGTGCAGTCGCAAGTGCTCTGGAGGCAGTAGAAATCGTCATGCGAGTAATATTTTGGTAATCTCATGGGGGAATTGTGAATACCAGAGGCCGGTACGGCGGAGAGGTGTATGCCGGGAGAGAATGAGCGCCGACATATAGGAATTGGTATGTTGGGCATGAGCCAGGTTTCAAAGCATCCGATCCGGCAACATCAGGAGGGATCAGGGCAATCATTCTATCTCAGGGCCCACTGGAGCAGTTGTAATCCTCCCTCAATTGTAGCCACTCCACAATCTCGATCAAACCCAATCTCGACCATACTTAATCAGAACTCATGCCAACAACAGTAACTGTAACGGCAGCTATGTATCTTTGACTAGGTGATAGACTGGAACGAGGAAAGGAGGTATTGTGTAGTGGTGTTAGGATTTGTAATGGGGATTTCCGTTATGTTCTTTTAGTTTCTGTTACGCGGAAATATTAGTCATCATTGGACTATGGTTGGATATATAAGGGGGCGTTGTCTTGTGCTTTTATCTGTTTTCCTTCTCTTCTTTCTTCTTTACGCAACCTCTGTATTCTACTTGCTCGCTAAGGCTCGCAAAGAACTCCCTGATAACAAACCTCGCTTCAAAAAGATTTTATTTCATCCCCTTCGGTTTACCCTGGTATACCATACCAGGTCGAGCCACTTTGTCCCCGATCGTACGGTCGCGTTTTGTTGTTCCAAGCGAAAGAAACACCAAGAAAACTGGCTTCTAGCGAAGAATTCTCCAGCCTTGACCTCCCAAAGGGAAGGAAAAGAAACCTCTCCGAAACATCACTCTACGCCGCCAGAAGAACTGGACATTCAATTATGTCGCAACAAGCCTCGCTCCAGTCCTTTTTCACCCAGTCTTCCCAGCAAGGGACAGCCCCTCCGCAGAACAGGAATACTCCGGTTCCCGTTCCAACTCCATCCGGAGCTCAGGAACAAGAATTCTCCTCGACCTTTGCAACACAATCCGACTACAACGACCCATACCAACCGAGAATTGACTACCTCTACCCAAGCATCGTTCCCCTGGACACTCACACCCAGACGGACCTGAACTACATTACCTGGGCCATTAGACATACCACCAGCCGAATCTGCCCACCCACCGACAGGATGGAAATTATCGAAGAGCAAACGACTACACTCCGGAGAACAGTGGACACATTGAGGCACCAAATCGAGGCACAAACAAGTATGCTCACCAGCATGCACTCAGCGATCCATCTTCTCCTCAGCAAACAACCACAACCGCAACCACAGCAACCACAACAAAACCAACAACAGCAACAGCAGCAACAACAGCGAAAACCACAACAACCGCAGGGACAGAGAATGCCCCCTCCAGCGGTCCCCCAAACAGTCCCCCAAGCAGCGCCTCAGGCAGCTCCTCAGGCCCCCCCTCCCGCACCCCCCCAACAAGCCCCCCCAACAAGCCCCCCCCCGTGGATGGAAAGCAGGCACCTGGGCCGCCGTGGCCTCGGCTCCCGGCCCTGCTCAAGGAAATTTCCAGGTTGTAGAGAGAAGAAAGAAGTCCGCAAAGCCAAAAGCGGACCCTCTCTTCAAGCCAGAATATACCAAAATCAACAGAGAAATCATTGTTGAAACCACTGCCCCATCCGACGTCAATCCCTCCGAGATCAGGACCCTAGTTAATGCAAGAATTCAAGACGAATCCTGCCACTTTATTTCAGCAAGGAGAACACCCAAGGACAACTTTATCCTGGAAACAAAGTTTGTAACCCCAGCAACAAAGGCAATGGAGTATGCCAAAGAAATTGAGGAGGCTCTCCTCACCCTACAAGTACCAGTCGCCACCATCCGAGCAAACTCCAAATGGTCAAAGTTCCTTATTCACAGAATCCCTACAACGGTCGGAGAAGGCGTCGAGGCAGGACAACTGGTAGCATCCGAAATTAGAAGCAATTATGGAGATAACTTCCAACTTGCCCAAGTTCCCCGCTGGATCTCCAGAGCAGAGACTCGAATGGAGAAAACCCACTCATCAATGGTCATCGCGCTCCCAGGACAAGTCACAATGGAAACACTAGGAGTTAAGTTCCTATCCCTTTTTAACCGAAGCTGCCACATCGAGGCCTTCCTTCCAACCTTCCCAGACACCCAATGTGCGAAGTGCCTCGAATACGGTCACCGCCAGGAGAAATGCAAAAACAGTGGGAGATGCGGTCATTGTGCCGGAGATCATCTCACCAGCTTCCACCCATGCAATCAATGCCAGGGAGGATACAGATGCACCCACACCCCAATCAGATGTCTGAACTGTAAAGGAATCCATAAGGCCTCCGACCCAGCATGCCCCGAAAGAGTCAAACGCCGATTCCTTAATAAAGGAAAGGAAAACGCCCCACCCGCTCAAGACCCACCGGCCGCACCTGTCCAAGAGTCGATAGTCCAAGTACCAGCCACCGCCCCAGTTGGAGCCACACCCGTTCCCGAAGATGACCAACCCATGACAAATAATGCTTAAGCCTCGAACCACCGCGCTCGCACACCAACTCAATTGTGCACGGAGCGAACTTATTACCAAGGCGGCGGTAGAAGAAGCGGAAACAGACTCTAGTATTTATTTCCTATTATTACAAGAACCATGGACCTCAGCAGAGGGATACCCACCAGAATCAAATCTCTTTTACATTTTTACAGCCAGCAATACCAATACAAAATGCGCAACATACGTCCGCAAACATGCCAACCTCAAACCAAAGCACCACTACACGCACGATAATTTCATAGTGTCGATTACGGTAGAAATCCAGAATAAGAAAACCCAAATCCTAAACATATACTCCCCAGGCCGAAGTGGCCCCTTCGCCCAAATAGCAAGTACAATCCAAACCCTTGACAATTGCCTAGTAATGGGAGACTTCAACTGCCACCATCAAATGTGGTACGGAGTAAATTCACATGAATACAGAAACAATATTCGAGCAGACCGCGTCAACGGTGCACGATTAAAACGATGGATAACCCGACAGAAACTGTCCCTCCTGAACGAACCAGGCGTCTTTACGCATTTCCCCAGAGACAGAGGGAAAAGGCCCACAACCATCGACCTTACATTTGTAAAAGGCCCAATACTCGATCACAACCTACGATGGAGCACTGAACCCTACGGAGCGGGCTCAGACCATGGGAGAACCTCCGTTCATTTACACCTGGAGAAACCACCTTTTGTACCAAGACGAATATGGCGACAAACAGACTGGAAGCTATTGGAAAACCACATGTCAAACATTTCCATCCCTGCAGAGGCATGGGAAACCAAGGAACTTACGGAACAGACTGTTGATTTCTTTCTAGAACTGGTCAGGTCAACAGTCAGCATAGTAACACCGCTCTCGAAGGAAGGGGTAAGAGCCAACTCCTGGTGGTCAGATGAAATGAAACAAATGAAGGCAAGGGTAAATGCAGCAGAAAGGAAGGCGAGGAACACAAGGAAACCCAATCACGTGGAGGAACACCGGAAGGCTTGCAGAGAATGGACAGTCATGATCCGGAAAGCAAAAGCGGATCAGCGGGAAAAGACGATGAACGAAGCGAAAGGTAGTGAAGTCTGGAGAATCCTAAACGTAGGAAGAAGAAGAGACACAATCATACCAACCATACAAGGTGAAGAAACATTTGCGGGGAAGTGTCAAGCTCTAAGAGCCCAACTTTTCCCCTCGAAACGGACGTCCCCCGACCACCCCCCCCTAAACATTAGACCCCCTTCTTTTGACCTTAGCAACACCTTCGACATAGTCACCCCCGAAGAACTTAATAAAGCTATCGACTCCTGTCCAGCGCACTCGGCGACCGGCCCGGATGGCATTCCTTACACCTTTATTAAAGCAATAGTCAAAGCAAACACAACTCTAATCCAAGATATGTTCTCCGCCATGCTCCGGCACGGCGTACACCCAGCTGAATGGAAAATAGCTAAGTGTATCCCGATTCCGAAACCCGGTAAAGCAAACTATCATGAAGCAAAAGCCTACCGGCCCATTTCCCTTCTACAATGCTTCAGCAAAATCCTGGAGAAGATAGTGGCCCAAAGACTCTGCACCGCTGGAGAAATTCTAGGCACACTCTCAGCGAATCAATTTGGAGGAAGACCAACCATCTCGGCAATCGACGCCCTGCTGAGAACCTTAACGCCAATACAACAAAACCTACTACTGAAAAACAGTACCGGAGTCGCTCGGCGAGACAGACCAGCGATCCTAACCAATGATATCCAAGGAGCATTTAACTGCGTTGACCACCTACTCCTCGCGGAAATCATGCAACAACAAAAATTCCCCACCTATTTAACAGAATGGTGCAAGGAATTCAACACCGGCAGAAAACTACAGTTTCAATTCAACCACGAGCTAGAAGAGCCACAGCCTTACGATTCCGGAGTGCCGCAAGGTAGCCCCATGTCCCCGGTGCTATTTATGATCTATGCTGGAGTAATCCTGGACCCAACAAGCAGCCCGAAAGAGATGGACACTACTTACATCGATGACGACGCGCTGGTACAAATATCCAAAACACCAGGCTTCACAATCAAGAGAATGGAGGAACGAATGAGAGAGAGACTAATAAAAGCTGAGCCACTCCAAATTAAATACGACCCGGATAAATCCGACCTGATCTTCTTCCGGCCCACCACATCATCCACACAACAACCACGACTTCCGGTCAAAGTTAACAATATCAATATACACCCCAAGGAAAGGCTGAAATATGTAGGAGTCTGGATAGATCCGACCCTCTCCTTCCGGCCCCACATCGAAGCAGCGATCGCAAAAGGCCTCAAAGCCCTCCACCAGATTCGATACACCACCCGCCTGCCAGGAATAACGGTTAAAACAATCCATCACATTATAACACAAGTCTTCCTCCCAAGTCTACTCTACGGATCCGAGGCGTGGTGGACTGGTGCAGACCACATTATAAGATCCCTCGAACCACTATACAATGAAGCGGCCCGGGTCATCACCGGCCTACCACGATGGACCAAAAGAACTAAACTCCTCCGAGAAGCAGGCTTACCCCCCTTAGAACATCTCCTGACATATCGCTCAAGAAAATATGGAACTAGAATACTCTGCACCGACGCAACCCACCCCAACAACGAATCTCTGATCGAGCTCCTCCCATACAGAGAAGCAAATATCAAAGGAACAGGCTTACACCGAATCGCCTCCTTACTACTCCCATACCAGACTCCCGGAAATGCGAGAGATAAGTGGAACCAAAACAAACTACTACGCGACCACCTGTTGGAAGAATGGAACACACAATCAATACCGAACTACCATCATCGGGGGGAATTCCGCCCCCCTCCCAAGATAGCGAAACTCACCCTTACGGAAGCAAAGAAAGTATTTCGGATCCGGTGCCAAACCACCCGAGTCGACAAACACGCAGTATACACAGACCCCGAACCATGCCAGTGTGGGATGGAAAACTCAGCGAAACATATACTTATGGAATGCCCAGCATGGGCTCGAATCCGCGCCCCTCTGATAGAAAAGATCCCCGGAGCGATGACCTGGGAAAACTGGATGTTTACAAACCTGAGAACGGACCTCATCTTACAATTTGCGAAACAATCTCAACTCTCGAAATGGTACAAGTCGGCGGAGGTGGAGGCGAACCTGGAAGAGGGGATGGAAGAAAATGACCGGGAACGGGATTAGGAAGGGGAGTTTCCTTTTACTCTTTAAAATTGTTTTTATTCTCTGATTTGATGGATCCAGCGCTCGAGTCCGCTGAGATATGTTATTTCTCCTTGTCGTTGGGTTTTCTGGTTGAAGTATTGTTCTGGATTTTCCCTTGTTTTCGTGCTCGCTTGTGCTTGTTTTGTTCTTGTTCTTGTTCTTGTTTGTTTGTGTTTGCGTTTGCGTTTGCGTTTGTTGTTCTTTTTTCTTTCTTTTTTCTGTTCGGTTCGGTTCGTGTTTTAGGCGGTTGGGTCGGTGTGCGATAAGTCTTGTACTTCAAAGCAATATAAGTTTCTTCTTCTTCTTCTTCTGTATTTATTCCACGAATACTATTCTTTGTCCGTACTACGTCATAGGGCTCCAACCGGTTTATCATACCAGGCAGAGCCACCCCATAGTCCATAGTCAAAGTATACCTTTACGTCTACGTTCACGTCTACGTCACTACCTAGGTTGTATTCCTTGGCACCACAGTCTATTGCCTATAGCCCCCGTGATAGTAACCCTGAACTGATCGTAATAACCCCAATCTCTATCAACACTCAATCATAACTCTCCCTTCAGTGTTATCCCCCCCAACTATAGTAATACTCCCCCAATCGTAACACCTGCTCAATCGTAATAGTTCTACAATTGTATCACGGCCCGACCGCCCACACCTGACTTAGAAGCAAGGCAGCTTCGGAATCACGTTATTAGATGAAGGATCGGTGTGGCTTCAGTGTTGTTTACTCTGTTTGGATTACGGTCAGGGATTAGTTGTAAGCGCTAGGCTGATTTCGTGTTGTTATGCGTAAAGAAGTTTTGAATTTCGGATTTGGTTCTGTTTTGTTCTTTTGGTTTCTTTGGTTCGAGTTATACAGATTAGTTGTCGGGATTTTTTGGGGATTTATATAGGAGGCTCACCCTCCGCTCTTGTAGTTTTTCTTTCTTTCTTATTTACGCAACGTCTTCTTCTACTACTGTACCTATTAGAACAATATTATTGTCTCTCCTCGTTTGAGACTCTTCTGTTGTTTCCGAATGTACTGATCCAGCCCGATCCATGGAGAGAGTGAGACCATCTCGAGATCCAATTCCTAGTTTTCTCCAGCCGTGTCCCGCTCGAACTCGAACATATCCCGAGTCAATCCTTAGCCCCACCCCGCCTATTAGAAATTGTTATACCCACCTCAACAATCGTAAAACTCCTAAAATTGTTATATCCCCCCTCACTAATTAGAACACTAACAATTCCGACTCCTATTAAACCACTGACTATATAAAACAAAGAAATACTTAAAAATATTAAATTTGTATTCCATAATCTGGCTGACTAATCAAGTGAAATACCGCAAAATCTGAGTTCGTTCGGACAGTTGCCAAGAGCAGTATTAGCTTTAATCCTACTGTAAAAGGCTCTAATCTCTTCCTTTAAGGGAGATATTTTTCAGCTCCTCTGCAAAGCTGTCCTCTTAGCAACCGTCTGAACGAACTCAGATTTTGCGGTACCAACAAATCGATTCCAGCCAATCAAAAGACTATAAATGTACATTGCTTACGCAGATTATAATTATATACTTATTAAATGACACACGGAAGGAAGCTCTGATAATATAAGTCTGGGTAATTCCTTCCTTACGTATGTTGTACTCAGAGGGACCCATATTTCTAGTTTTCCACGACGCACCACTGGCTCTGCAAAACTTACATTAGGCCCAAAAATGACTTGCCGGATTCGAGACAACCTGCGTCTGATAAAATGGAGAATCACATAATTTCTAATCGTCCTCCTCCTCCAGTCCAGCTTCACCTACACGGCCAGAAGCTTCACCGAAAACGTGTCCCACCCTCGAGGTAGGGACGAGTGACTGCCCATGATGCAGATAAATTACCACAAGGCACACCACCGCCGCCACCACCACATTAACCCTGGGCTCTGTGGGCTGGGCCTCAATACCCAAGTATGTTTGAAGAGATGCAGGAACTATCGAGCCATATATGGCGGTCTTCTAAAACTAGGACTTAGTTAAGATACTTTCACCTCTCAATCAATCACGCATTTTCCTCAAAACGGCCCCACTATATCATGGATAACTCGGACACAGCCTAGCTCCGTATGGACCGGTATAATCTATGTGTAACCCCACCCCCCCCCCCCCCCCCCACCTGGTTTTGACACCGGAGAAGCTATGTATGTGTAAAACAAGCCCAACACATCTCTAATAGCGGCCAGCAGCGAGTGGCCAGACTTATTGGAGATATAGCTACGCACCGGGCTAGCTAGCCAGTGTGGTCTACAAGACGAGTCAGCCACCCTCACGAGTCGACTCATCTCAAGCTCCCCCACCGCTCAACGACGAGTTTTCTAAGTGTTACCCCACGCGCCTCGAATCAGAGATGCCGAGTGACAGTATCCTTAGTTGTGAAATCGTGGAGTAGCAAAACCTAGCCTGATAACGGATCGGATCTAGAATTACTTCAGGGGGCTAATATCTGAGGCCGCTTATAGAAAGCTGGAGCTTTCACAGCCGAGCAGCTGCCGCCACGAGCGGAGCCGGGCCTTTCCTCCTGCCGGATCATCGACTATATACTAGAGCCTATGGCCGGCCGGTTGGGTGGTAGGAACCGTTACTTTGTAAACCTAACAGCCCCGACAAGTGGTCTTTACATGAAGGTGGAGGGGAAGGTATTTGTTTTACGGGGTTAGTTTATAGTACTGTACAGTGCTGTACTGCACTAGACAAGACGAGCCTTCTTGGAGTTCATAACCCGGGGGTATTATAACATTTCTGTAATGAAATAGTGCAAGAAGTAACTACATGTAGCTCGATAGGTACACACCCTCGGATTGTATTACCAGCGGCCTAAACTTCTCACGACCCCCAGACACCAGACACCCCGCGCCGTCTCTTGTCCCCCCCCCCCCCCCCAAGTATACGAGTGCGTGAGGAGCTTAATTCTTGGGACGTGCTAGTACCTGAACCGCATCCCTCGAGATGTAGATAACTCCGCCTACTGGTATGTACCCGAAATGCAGTCTTTTGATGAAAACGAAAGCTTAAGTGAAAAGAAGAGGAGAGGGAAAAGAGACCAGCCAGTCCATTATACACCAAGAGTAGCTCGATCAATACAAGACCACACACGCATGCATGTATGAATGAATGTAAACACATATAAAAACCATTGTTTGTAGTAAGAAGTAAGCCCGCACCCAAACCACCCAAAAGCCCAAAAACCCAACTCAGTAACCAACCGACCCAAGAATCAGAAGCCAAAAGTAAAAAATAAAAAAAATAAAAAAGGGCTACTGCGTCACAGTATATCACTCGCCCCCAAAGCCCAGCAGTAACAACCTTTACGTTAACCTCACCCCCTTCCCAAACGCCCCCCCACCGAGCCCCCCACCCACACCAACTCCAACCTCCCCCATTCCCATCCCCATCTGCGGCCCCATCCCCACCATTGTCCCACTCCTCCCCGCGCTATACGCCCCGGCCATCTGCGGTATTGTCGCCTGCATGGCAACACCCAGCGCGGCTGACAGCGGCGTCGCCGCGTACTGCTGCTGTTGGTGCCGGAACGCGGACCCGTTCATAAGGATGTACAGATCCTTCGTTGGGCGCACTACCGTGCCCACCGCGATGAGCGTGGGCTTTGGAAAGGGGTGCTCCTGCGTTATTGATTTGATGAGTTCCGCGATATTGATCACCAGCTATCCATTCCATCATTAGCAGTTAATTTCCAAAGCTCGGACGAAACTGACAGTGGGGAAGAGGATAGTTACGTTTGTAAACTTATTTGTCTCCTCCCAGAACCTCCTGCGTTCACCCACATCCCCCTCGCGCACCGCCTCCCACTTGACCATCCCCAACCTTCTCGCGGCCTCCGTCCCCGCCACACACAGCGCCGCCACCTCCCGTAGCTTCAGCGCCACCGCCGGATTCGGCACCGACCCCGCCGTGGCCTTGATCTCGCGCTCAATCACCGGCAGCGTCGTCGTCGCGGCCGTCGTCGCCGCCACAAACTTCCCATATAGCGGCTCGTCGCTGTCGAAGCCGCCGTCCACGGCTACCGCTAACCCGGGCGTTGGCGGCGGCTGCAGCATAAACACGTCCTGCCGGGGCGTCGACGGGAGACTCACCACAGAGCTGTTGTTTTTGAGGCGCAGCGGTGGCGGCGGTGGCGCATACAACCGTGCTGTCACCGGCGGCTCCTCGCCGGCGCCGGGCAGCAGCGGCCGCAGCGTCTCATAGCTGTGCTGGATCTCGATGTACGAGCCATACACCATCAGTAGTAGCGTACGGACATACCTTTTCTCCTGGCAGCTCGCGCCGCCCGTTTCCCGGAGGAGGGCCAGCACACGCTTGAACGCCGCGACGCACGCGTAGCAGGCGTCGATGACTTGTGCCTCCTCGTCGGTCTCCTCGAAGGCCTCGAGCGCGCTGACGAGCGTGCCGATGTGGATGTTGGCAGTGTAGAGTGCCGTGTCGATGCTACTTGTGTCGTCCGCGGGGGCGGGGGTGAGGGACTGCACAAACTCCTCGATGGGGCCTTGTAGCGTCGACATTGCGTACAGGATGCCCCGTGCGGCTTCACCGATGCGCGCGGAGGAGACGGACTGCGAGGAGCGTTTATGCTCGGGAAGGCTGGAGAGGCGGCGGAAGCAGGGGAGGGGCCGGTCTGGTGGGCTGCCGCCGCTGCCGCCGCGGACGACGGCAGAGTCGTGGGAGTATCCGCGCTGGTGTTTTGCTTTCTGGAGTTGCAGGTGCTGCTCGTCGACGGTGCGGAGGTGGTGTTGTTGCTCGGTGTGTTTGCCCCGCGTGCCCACCATGCCCATGCGCCGTGTGTTGAGGATCGTGGACTCGGAGTTGCTGCGTGAGCGCTCTGTGGGCGTCTGCGGGAGGGGCTGCAGCGGCCCGGGGGACTTGAGGGCGGCTGGGAGGAGGGCCATCGGGAGGCTTTGCAGGAGTTGTTTGGGGGGCCGTCGTCCGGTGCCCATCGACGCCTTTTTGGCAGCCATGCCAGGGGTGTCACGGAAGGGGGTGATTGTGGGCTCAAATCCTCCCCCGCCGATCATTCCCCCTCCGATCATTCCTCCCCCTCCCCCGCCTCCTCCCCCTCCTCCTCCTCCTACTACTCCGCCTCCTTTCGGTGGCTTGATTATGTCACCGTTTCCGTTTCCGGCGTCTGAGAAGAGGGTTTCGGTGCTTGGTCGTGCTACCAGTGTTCCTGCGGTGCTCAAAAAGTCGTTTTCGCTGCCACTGCATGCATGCACGTTAGCTACCCCCGTACTACCTATCACTTCCCCTCCCCCGCACACTCCCCCTCCTTCCGGTGGAAAGCTCACCTCGGCCCATTCCTCAAAAATCGTTTCAAGTTGTCTAACCACGCGTCCCGGTCCGTCTCTTCGCCATCCAGGTCCAGTACCGCCGCCGGCGGGAACGACAGCGGGTTGTGGTCCAGCTTCAGGATCTTGAGGTCATGCATGTCGCCAATGTAGGCGGGGAGCGTCGTGATCTTGTTTTTCGACATGGAGAGTACCTAGATATAAGCTGGTTAGTTAGAGTCGGGGGAAGCAGCGGGGGGAGGAGAGAGAGAGAGAGAACCTTAAGGTTGACGAGTGTGCCAAAGTCGGCAGGTAGCGCACGGAGTCGATTTCGTGAGACGTCGAGAATCTCGAGTGACGGCAGGCGTGTAAGCTGTCCATCCCCACCACATGCCCAAGCTCAGCTTCTTCTTCTTCTTCTTCTTTGCAAAATCACCATCCCACCTTTCATCCACAACAAATAGAGAAGAGGGGGGTGGAAACTAACCGCAGCAGGGAACTCGCGCAGGAAGTTAGACCGCAGGTTGAGGTATCGCAGTCTCGGGAGGTCCGCAAACTCGTCCGAGAAGCCTGTGAGCTGGTTATGCGCAAGTGCTAGCCTATCCTCATCCCTCATGTCAGCCCTCTTCCCTCTTCCTCTTCCCCCTCTCCTCTTCCCCTCCTGCTCCTCCACCTCCATATCCTCCCCCCTATTCCTACTACTCCTCTCCTCGGACTCCTCCGACTCCACGTCCTACTAACCTCTCAATCTCGCTCTTAACGAGCTCCAGTACCTCCACCGGGATAGCCGCAATGCGCTGATGCGACAAATCGATGGTGACAGGATCTCCGCGGGCGCGCGCGTCGGCGAGGGCGTGCGTCACGAGCGTGATGCAGGACGACTTGTCGAGCGGTGCTGGCATGGGCGGTGGTATGGACGTGGGCATGGTGGTGAATGAGCGGGCGGGAGAGGTGGCGGGGCGGTCGCTCATGTTGCTCGATGGGGGTGTTTCTTGAGATCACGGGGGGAGGGGGAAAGGGTGCTTTAAGATAGAGCAGGTGGATGGGGTTGCTTGTTTTGGTCAGCTTCGAATGGAAGCGCAGAGCGTTGGGTTGGGTATTTTGTTGGTTTTTTTTCTTTTCTTTTCTTCCTTCTTTTTTTTTTTTTGTTGTTTTTGTTTTTTGCACATCCCCCCTCTGTTAGGTTGTGAACTCTTGGGTTGTGACGAGGTAGTGCTTGCTTTTATTTAGAAGCTCCCCGGCCCCCCTCCCTCACCCCCTCCACTCCCTCCGGTATCTAGGAGGCATTCTACTCTATTCAGGGCAACGTTAACCGGGGAATCTCAAAGAAAGCTGTTGACATGTCATGACAAGGGTGCTGGGTAAGTAGTAAGCTTATATAATACAGCAACCACTCCACCCAGCAGCAGACAGAACCCGTAGAAGTAAATCCCCGCGGAGGGGTCTGGGTCTGGCACCCTGGATATCACTCCCTTCCCGTGGTGGGCCGTGGTCCGTGGAGGTTGTGTGTGGGCGTTCGTTCGAAACACACCACGGGAACGGAACAGGAACAGACAGGCACAGGAACGTCCCCCCGGGTAAAGATACCTCTTCCCCGCCGTCTGGAGTTAAAGCACAGTTTATGTACTGAGCTAGAGTAGGCTATGGGGTGGAGTACATAATCTCGTCCCCAGAGCAGTATGATATCTTCAATTGACGACTGCATATGTAAAATACCAATATTGACAATACTGGCGCCGCCAATTGGTCTTGGGCTTCGATCAATGACGTCAAGAGCATGCGACATCCACTTTCGCTTCCTCTCCACGCAAGCCCAGCCAGCCATCCAGCCAGCCAACCAGCCAGCTAACCCATTAAGCGAGGGTTAGGTTTTTGTGGACCGTGCACTGTTGAAACAAAACCAAATCTGATCAAAGCCGTCTCAAGTAGACATCTCTGGTAATAAAGGATAAACAGTTAGTAGATGGATATTTGGTTGAGGCTGAGTGATCTGGGGATACACAGACCCGCCAGAGTGGAGTGGAGAGGCACCGGTGAATGAAACCAATGCCTCCCCATTGGTTTCAGCGTTGTGTGTCCCTTGCATGGTGAAACGCAACGTTATGGCCAGCCCGGTCGGTTGATGAGCAGATATCGATATAGATAGATGGATTGATGGAATTCAGCCTCGGGAGGGAGGTGGTGATTGTTTATAGCTGTCGGGTCGATTAAAGTTTAGCATCCTATGGAACCAGTGTTTGGTTCGCTTCATTAATCTTTAGCAGAGTGTTGGCCAATCATGGGCCAGCTGCAGTTGGAAGCTCGTACCACAGATGCATGCTTTTAACAAACAGAACTGTCAGTCATCAATGCCAAACAATTCTATCTGGGGTGCATACCATACATACATGTATGAACTTCAAATAGATGCAGATGCACTCGGCGAGGGAGTCCATCAACAATTGAGTATGTATTCACCAGATCAAGCGAGTCTGCAACAGCACGGGGGAAACAACAACCGTTGGGATGGTTTATTTTCAGAAGAGGGCACCGGAGAGAACCAACCCGTGCTTTGTGTGCCCTACGTGTACGTACATGTAGGTACTTAGACTCAGGTAACGTGTTCGGTGTCACCCCTTAAGCTTTTGTCTTTGGCAGTGGGCAGAGAGAGCTGTGTAGCACCCATGTTCAGACTTGGTGAATTGCAGAAAGTTATGGCAATTACAGGTATGCACGTGCTTTATCGCGCGCACGGGGAAGCTCAAGAGAATACCGGTATGCCGAAGCCGAGTGACAACTGTTAAACTACATGTATGTACATAGCTTGGCCAAATTTACTGCAGGCCCAGTCCGACAATTGGGAATTAATGATATTTGTTCTCGACCAATCGTTGAGCCTCTCATCTCAATTAAGGCCTGTCATTAGTCACCAGCAACCTGTAACACCCCGCGCTCTTGGGACTTGTTTGGTGGGGCTCAATGCCGTTCTCCCGTCTGCAACCCCGCGTATCTATCAGAACCTCAAGAGAATAAACTTCTTCGCAACAACCACCCATATAAACCACCCCGCCGTGAACCTCCCCCCCCCCCCCCCGCCGCCCCGCCCCGCCCCGCACCCCCTCCCCCCCTCCCCCCGTTCTCCCGTTCTCCCGCCGAGAAGAACACCTCCCGGGCACCTTCAGCTTCAATTCGTAATTGGCATACAGGAACCATATTATAATTCTTGCATTAACAAACTACATAATTCGAATTTCCCTTTCCATTTTTTTTTCCTGTCTCTCACTACTACTGGTGCCCGGGAGAACCGCACAATGAGCTCCTTCCCCGGACCTCCATGTTCACATTGTGTCTAGTGGACGTGTCGACGACCAGGACATATTCCTCCGTGGCTTTGAAATTCTCCAGGTGTCGTCTGTTTATACCATCAATTGAGGACCGTCGGCGCTATTCTTCACCCTCTTCTGCTCCTCCCATTGGCCTTTGCTCTCGACGGCCTACAACCCCGCAATTGCGTGCTCCTGCTGCAATTGCTACTGCTACTACTGCTCCGTGGGCATCATTATCAGGGCGGAATTCTATGGACAATTTCTTCATCGATGCCCTTGTGCGGGCGAGTCTCTGCAAATATCACTCCTCGTCTCTGCCCTCGATTGGGGCCCCCGCGCGCTCACGCACCATCTGCACCATCCGCCGCGTGCCCTCCAGCCCCCACCACAACTTCCCCATCATCGACCTTGTCCCGCGGCCGCCCTTCTCCCCCGAGATCAAGTCCGAACTCAAATCCTTCTCCGACCCCTATTACGACGAGTCCTACGACGATGCCAAGTCCGCCAAAGACGAAGACGAAGACGGCCCGCCCCCCAAACCGTACCCCAACGACCCCAAAGCAGCCGTAAGGCCGCCCCTCCCATGGCACGCCTGCACCACGCCCGAGTCCCACGCCGCCCTCCGCCGCTTCAAGCGCCATCTCGCCGACCCCAAGTGCTCGCACGAAACCCTCTACAGGAGCTACCGCGCCCTGCCCACCCCGCAGATCCTGCACCTGCAGCTCCACCACGTCAACGCCTTCGTCGCCCGCATGATGACCGTCCCGCAGCGCACCGAGCCCGCCATGCTCCGCTACCTGGCCGTCCTCGACGACCTGCGCGCCGCCGCCCTCCCCATCACGCGCGCCGAGTACAACGCCGCCATCTCCTTCGTCGCCCGCTCGTTCGACAGCGTCTCCCTCGACGAGGCAAAGTCCGCCATCCACCTCTGGAAGAAGTCGGAGGGCCTTGCCGGCGTGGCCAGCGACATCACAACATTCAACATCCTCCTCGACATGGCCTCAAAGTCCGACACGCCCGTGCTCGTCGAGTGGATCCTGCGCGAGATCGAGTCCCGCGGCATGGCCCCCGACCGCTTCACGCACACCACCCTCATCACGTACCATGGGCTGCGCGGCGACGGCGAGGGCGTGCGCCTGGCGTATCGCGAGCTTGTGGACGCCGGGGAGATCGTGGACACGGTGGTGCTCAATGCGGTGATGGCGGCGTTCCTGCGCGCGGGGCAGCCGCAGAGCGCCGACTACATCTACGAGAATATGAAGCGGGCGACGCTGGACCCGCCGCACCCGCTGCCGCAGGCGGGCCCCGGCGACTGGGTGGGGAAGCGGAAGTGGGCGAAGGTTTTGAAGGCGGTTGCGGAGAGGCGGCGGCGGATCATCGGCGGGTATATGAAGGATTTCAATGCGTCGCTGGCGCCGGATGTGTATACGTTCAATATGGTGGTGCTGCAGAGCGCAAAGACGGGTGATTATGAGAGGGCTATGGCGCTGTTTAGGGAGATGGACCTGCTAGGGGTGCGGGCGAATGAGACGATTTTTGTGGCGCTGTTGAAGGGCTTTTATTGGTATGGGGGCATGAGCCATACGCCGTGGACGCCTGAGAGACTGGAGGAGGTCGTGGCGTTGGCGTTTGATAAGAAGAGGAACATCTTGATGGAGAAGAGTTTGGCGAAATGGATACTGATGAGTACGGCAAGGGTTTATAATAGCAAGGAGCTTGTTTTGAAGATCTGGCCCAAGATTACGAAGAGGTGGGTGCGGCAAGGCGGTGAGGTGGATCCGGAGACTCGTGAGGTTTTGAAGGGCTTGGTGGGGCACGGCAAAGGTGCATGAGCGGAGTTGCGAAATGTATATAGTAAGTATCTTGCGGCATGTTTATAATTCCTTTTCTTGTAGAATACCTAGAGACTGTATATAAAAAGTGTACAATGAATACCAGATTTCAAGCAAGTCGTATGAGCAAAGAAGGAAGTGAAATTGTTCAGTATCGAAATTAAATATTAGAAGAAAGAGAATCCTATTACACGCCTTCAATCTCGCCAGGGCAGCTCTTTCATCCACCTACTGGCATAGATATATCTAGATAGGAAAGCCTATTCAAGCGTTGAGCATCCACATAGAATTCGAACGTAAGTTGATATTTTCCCCATTTAGTTATTCCAGCTAGTATAGGAGATTCGATGAAAGAAAGATATATACCTCATCTTATCCTCTCTGAAGAAAAATCTACCCCTATATACACCCAAACTACACCTTTCGTAAACCCTCAACCACCAAGTAATGCGTTAACAATAAATACTGGATCATGAACTATCACTCACCCACATTCCACAACCGAGCCATGCAACCAAGAACAAAACCCACACCCGGACGAATACATAGAATTGCAGACCTCAGTCTATGTTCTTAAAGACTATTTTCATCAAGTAACCAGTATTCTCGCCGAAATAACATGCCCGCGGAGCCCCCCCCTTTCATTTACATCTATTCTGCCCCTCGGAGGATTCAGGTCTCCGACACTATCTCATGAGTGGTAGAAAGATCTAGATTTCCATTGAGTCGATCTCCAAGACAGCACCCGGTATTAACCAGCTAGTGGGTAGTCCGTACGACCATAACTATCGGGGAGTGTCAAATAACTTCACGCTCCGCTTTCTCGTTGTGAACGCATATCCCTTAGCTAGGTATAGGCCTTCTCTGTTAATACATGCCGCTGTCAAGCTTTTTTGACCATATATATTGCCAAAAGAACTAAAAACATATAATCCACCTACATCAGGCGCAAGCCACGTCGAATCCGGCCCCTTAGAAGTAATTTCAGATTCGAGTCCTAGTGCACGTTCTGGAGGTGATCATGGTAAACTGAAAATCTCGACCCGGACTATCGAAAGCATCACCCAGACGCACGGAATCACATACTTCCCGAGTTTCTCGATACTGGATAGTATTAGAGCTTTGCTTCTTTGATCTGGTGGTTGAGCTACGATCATGAGATATCACTCGATCTGATGGGGAGAGGACTCCGTGACCACGTTCAAAAATTGGTTGCTTCATTCTTTCATGACGACAGACCAGGTGATTCAAATCCATGACAATGACAGAACCTCCAATCCCGTCGCGACCACTAGTCAGTGTTTACGTATCTGCCTCCCAAACCAAGGTATTGAGAGGGAGAAACTAGGTCCCATGAATAACTCGAGATCCTATAGTAATTAATTAACAATCATAGATACCATACTAAATATCACCAGGTACCTCTAAGGCCTCTAAAGTCCGTATTGGCAGAGTTACTTGTTCAACCTTGTGTGGACATAAATATGATCCCGGAAGAGACTTTGTATCTACCGGGACATTTCGAGTGTTGGTGGTTTTTCAAACCTTGAATTCTTTGCCTATACCGAGATAGGCCACGAATCCAAAGAAAATCAGAGCTATGTGTATATATCTGTCTCTTGAGTTAGCACTCTTAAGTTTTTAGGAATATTTAAACATTATTCCCTCCTACATGCACAAAGCTGTCCTCTAAGGGTCGAGATTTAGGTGCCATGATATTACTCTTCTATTAGCATGAGTCACACTTTTGGCGCCACCAACTTCAGAGGGAGCAGAATATCTGATAGATAGACTAAGAGACGATCACCCCCCGTGATATATGTGATAGTCAGCCCAGGACAAGTGAAATTGATTCAAACCACTCTGGAGTACCTCACTTACCACATATAATTGAGGGAAATTAATGATCAGTCCATGTAGTTTCCACCCTATATACCGCGTAATAGAAATACTATTGCCTCGAGCTCGCCGCTGGTCACCATTGCACCAATTCCATAGAACTCAGAGATGCAGGTCATGTCATTCCATGGAAAGCGTCTGCTTCAACTATGCATTAATGGTAAGATATAAATCCACCCCAATAATTTGAGGGCCTGGCGTCAATGCTGAATGGTAGTTTCCTTGATTGAATTACCATCTGCTTCTTCTTACTGTGACCGAAGGTGTATTGATACTGTGATCTGACTTTAATTTTCAGGGTTTCGAATATAGAATGACCCCCATGCAACCCCGGTGTGTGTTTTGGGGGACCAGCGCCCTGTGCGTATACCAATAAAGTCTCCGGGAAGGCTCCCATATAGGTATTTCTGTTTGTAAACCGAGTCCCGCGCTCGATAAAACCATCGAGAAGTGACATACGTATAGCAGTCAGTGCCGAGAGTATATCCCTAAATTAAATTCAGGGGTGCTTCGATTCCTTCATGTGTTAATATATTTGTTCTTTAATTCCCACTAGAGTAGTGGTATACAGACAAAAGGTCAGGAACTAGCTCTACTCGGTATCCAACAGACGAGTCGTGCATAGAACCGCCCATGAATGTTCTTGGCTAGAAATAATATTTAGACGCCAAGGCCGGTCGGAGGCGCCTAACCGGTTTAGGTATGCTAGTGTTTATGGTGCGAGAGGGACTGTCGCGAAAATGCTGATCCACCAAAAAAGCAAAAGAAATTTGGTGTGGCTTTACTAATAGATCCCGTTATCTCTTAATAGCTCTCTTATACAAAATCTACATAATTCCTCTGCTATAGGGGGGTCGCCATCGACAGCTGAAGGATAGTAGAGGGAGCGCAGCCCTTGACAGCCCTGTACACAATTCATTCATTGGCTCCGGGAAGCAAACACGGAGGAGCCTCACCTTTAACTCGACTCTATGGCCGTAAGAACCAATTAGATACTGCGTTGAACTGGTGTGAACAGGTTAGACAACGTCGCCCCCAAGCCCTCTCGCACCATACTTGTCCTCGCAGACCATGCCGTGGAGACTTAGAGAATCTATGATAGAGTTTCCAAGCGGATCTAATAATATGCAAGAAGAGGTAAAGGTAAACGCTTTTCTTCTTTCAACCTCAATCACAGGATATCACTCGCAAATCGAGATGGACCTGGTCATGCGCTGGTTCTTGAGTTATCCACCAGTAGAAACGATTCATGGTAGTACCGTAGAGGGGAACCGCTTACTGCTCAATTTATATTATATGGACCCTAGTATTATGATTATGGCTGGCCGGACCGGAATTGCAGTCAATTGACTGTTCACGACGAATACTAGTCCTCCGGCATGGAATTTGAGTCAACGCGGATGATCCTGGAGGAAGCATTGGTTGGTGACACCACAGTAATAGTTTTAAACAAAATAGAATTCGATTGAGGGCTATAGGCGGCCTAGTTATACGAATAGATAGATAAGCAGCCTCCCAGAGAGATATAGATCTAGAGACCTATCACACCCATCCGGAAAGAGAAAATGCGAGGGCCCATGAATTTGTCACGCTTGTTACAGCGTGTAGTTTTAGGCATTCGAATACAGCCGATAGAAGTTGTGATTGGAGGCCTCATGCTGTAGGACGCTAGACGTAGAGTCACCTGGATCGAGGCCACGCTGCGTAAACCATACATTTTACCTACACACGCAACCCATCTGCAACCGTGACTACTACAGCGTGACTCTAATCTAATCTCGCGTTACATCTACATCTAAATCTACATCTACCCTCCTCTCCTCATCCCATCGATCCCATCCCATCGATCCCCCACCAGTACCACCCTCCCCGCACCTTGGACCCTTCCTTCCACTCCTTCACCCCTCCTTTACCCCATCCCATCATCCCATCTCCCGCCGCACCCACATCACATTTCCCTCCCACTCCACCACCCCTACCGCGGTTGAAAAGGCAAAAGGGAAAAAGGCAAAACAAAAAAACCGAGTGACAGCCAATGACCCACCAACCCCACGATCGCGCGATGGCCCCCTACGTATACCACAGATTCAAAATATCCCTCTCTTCTACCCGTAGGTAGACGAGTAGAGTACAAGCTATTCGAAATACGCCCGTCAACATCTTAAGATCGAGCTGGCCCCCCTGTAAAGTACCCCAAAGTACTCCCCGCTCCCCACTCCCAGGCCAGACCAGTTAGAGTGCTGTACTGTTGTACCTCCCCACAGTAACAACAACCACCCCCACGTAAAAGCGAGAAAACGTCATCCTCGCTTATCTCACCCGCGCGCCCATTCGCCGCAAAGGAAAAAAAAAAAAAAAAAAGTGGATTACAGCCACAACCAACAGGACTGCTTTCCAAATAGGAAAAGGGCCCACAAATCTGTTTTACAGCAGAGCACAGGAGGCGCTAGTTAGAGTTACCTACAACCTCGGATAATTGTTCAAGCGATGTACAAGTAGATAAGCGCCAACTATTGGGTAGATGTATGTACTCTACATACAGAAATTTAGAGACCGTGGGCCGTGAACATCCGGGGTATGTGCCGATGAGGATTTAAATTTGGCTCTTTATCCGATGCTGAAGTGTGGGGTTCTCCTCTCCCCTGAATTTCTTAAAAATACAGTTTACTTTGCATAGCTACAAGTAGCGAAAGCATTTGATGGGTAATATGGAGTGTTACACAGGATAAGGCACCGTAATAAGTGAGCGAGTGAGTGAAGCAAGAAATTAAGTCCAAAGCACCATTTCAATTCTTTGTATAAATTTTTGGACAAATTGCAATCCAAATCCTCCCAATCTCACTCAGTGAAGCACGCCTAGATGCAAAGAAAAAAAAGAAGAAAAAAAAGGAAAAAGAAAAGCCAAGAAAGAAGAAAGGAGTTCCTTTCATCCTAAGGAAATTATAGAATAAACGCTACGCCATATGAGAGAAGAAAATTAGAAATCACGCAAAACGGGCTTAACACCACCCTTCCAGTCGTCACGCTCGTAGTAGCGGAAAACAAGATCGTAGCCGTCAAGATCATGACGAATCTTGTCAACGCGTCTGTAGCCCTTGATGGCATCCATCCTCGCGTTTCTCTTTGCCGCCGTGGTATCGTAGACACCTCCTCCCTGGGCACGCTCCAAGCTGTTCGGCTGGGCCTCAAACAAGGTGACCGAGAATCTTCCTGGACGGAAAATGCCAACAACGTGCTCCAAGATTTCAGCAGTCTCACGCCCAGATTGGCGTCCTGGCACATTGGTCTCAAACGAAGCGTAAGAGCAGTGGGGTTCCGGCGTGACGTGCACGGTGAAATAATGGGTGGTGGGGATGTTCGGGTCAGGGGACGGGATGACGGCATTGGCCGAGAAGCCGCAAGGGCTAAAGATGTAGGAGTCGACGCAGGCATCAGGGTACTTGGACCGCGGGTATGTGTCATCAAGTCCACAAGCCTTCGAGACGATAGAACCGAGAGCATGACCCTCGCTGGTAAGCTCCTCTGGAAGCTCCTCATCCTCGTCAGATGAGGCCTCCCCGGAATCCTCATGCTGTTGGCGCCTGAATTGACTTGCAGCCAAGGCACTGGCATTAGCAAGGTAAAATTGCTTGGCCTTAGTTTCATCCAAATCCGTCATCAAGACTTCAAGGGTCTCATCGAAAATCCCATTTCCACTTCCCCCATCTCGTCCACCACCGATATTCTTGTACACAATGTCGTTGGCCTCCGGGAAAGTTAGTATTTTTGTCTCTGTGGGTATGTCAAACGGCTCGGCAAGCTCGTTCGTGGGTGTCAGAGGTGGGGAAAGCATGGTTCCTGGGTTGGTCAAGTAGAGGTACCAGTGCTCGCCGTTCATCTTTCCAACCATATAGGCGCTCCCGTTGAGGAACCACTCATCAAGATATTCAACCTCATCCCTCCAACTCTTGTGGGGGTGCATCTGCTTGTCGGGGAACATGAAAGACTTCCTAGAGTAGAAAACACGGTATGGGGTAGCAACGTGGGCTCCGCCGTTGTTGAACCCAGCTTCAGCAGCAATGCGAAGCATCTCCGGAAGACCGTTGAGAAGGGTGGTTGTTCCACAGGTCTTAAGAATAACTTTGTGGGGAAAGACAAACATGCTGCTTTCACTCAAAAGATATGCGTCCACGTTGTCGTTCTTAACAACCGAGAGGACCTTGCACTTGACGATATCCAACATCTGCTCCCATCTCTCTTTGGTGATGTATTTGAGGCCATTTTGGTGGGTAGTGGGTGGGAGCAACTCCGGGGAAGGTGTGAACCAGACTTCGAGAAGCTTCTCTGGGCCTAAAAGAATTCACAGGTTAGTTGATGTAGTCTGCAAAATTAGGAAATTCGACAATTACCCTCGAAAGCATTGGTTGAATCAAGGTCGGCAGTTGCTTCATAGTTGATCGACAGAGCAGTTGCCTTGGAGGTTGAAGGGCTGACCATTGTGAATTATTTGGATGATTATTGGTTGGTATATGACTATACTAGTTCTCGGCAAAGACGATGGATGCGATGTCTTTCTTAAATAGAGGTTGGGTGATGGATGCTCAAATGTGTGGGGGGGATTGAATAGATGGAGAGGCTGTGTTGTGGGGATCTGTCTTTTTTTTCTTTCACTTTAATCCTTTGTAGTCTTTCAATTGGACAGAAAGCTACTTCCGCCCCGCCGTCAAGATGCCGATGCTCTTTCGAGGTACCGGTCGAGCAGACGAGGGGTTAGAGTACTGATGTGGAAATTTAGGGTTGAAGCTAAATGCGGCTGAGGCGAGTAAAGTTTTGCGGTTTTGCGGGAGTCGTGTTATCTGGGCCTAGTAGTGGTGAAAACGACGTCAGTACTGATGTCATTCTTTACGGGATTGAATTTGGGTGAAGAATCATCCGGGCTAGATTATAGGAACATTCAAGGAATTCTATTTGATTTTTCATTGGGCAGTGTGTTTTTTTTCAATCGAATGGGTGGTCTTTCTAGGCGTTCGGGTGATTCTAATGTGGACGGGTATGGATTGCATTGAATCGGAATTGGTATGGGAAACCTACTTCTTTCGTAGAGACAAGAAACGGAGCAGGTCCTTTCGGCTCATAAGAATGAAAAGATCTTGCTCGGTAAGTTTTAGTTTTTGGCTATGTGCAGCCTAGAAACGGAGTCCAGTATGCTCGCCAGAATTGTCGACGAACAGACGTGACTGCCGTTTGTGTGGGTTTATTTGGGAGGGAACGTTGAGGTTGTCGTTGTGAGACAGCTTTGCGGCTCCTTTGGTGATCTCTCTTCTTTCTGTTGTCTTTTAAGAAATCGAAATTTTGCTTGTATTCGGGGGAATCTCCTTCCTCTTGCCAATTAATTGTTGGGTGGGAGTTTTTAGTGGGAATTGATGCGACAAGATGAGGAGCCGGAGGGGAGAGGAAGTCCCGTCTTTTGAATCTTCGGGGAGAAGTGGGGTTCGCGTCAGGTATGGTGGGTTTTTTTTTCTCAGAGGGGGGGGGGAGGGGATGAAGGGGGAGGGGGGTGGGTTAAAAAGCAAAGTCACTACCGCACGAAGAACCCCCAGGCATGGAAAAAATTCTTTTGCTGTCCAGAAAAAAAAAACTCTATCAGAATAGCGAATCCGAACCGCACCCCCAACCATCGCAACCTGCACCACGCGTATAATTGCCCCTTGAACAAGAAATAATGGCAATCATCTCGTCTTGTGCAGCAAATGGAGAATAATTTGCGTTCTCTCTTGTGGACAAAGACTACATATGTAATTTCTGCTTCTCTGCTTGGTTACTACGGTACTGTACCTACTCGCTCATGGGTATTGAATCCTGGGTGCCTCCGTGGCCTGGGCGGGTGCTGTCGTGGAAGAGGCAGGCATGTAACAGTCCCAGTTCCTGACCTAGCCACTCTTGTCTTGGGCTTTTCCGTTTATGCGCTCAAATTCACAACCTCTGCGGGGTTTTTATTTTGGTATTTTATTTTTTGGGTGTTTTTGGTCCCTTTCCGATGATTTTCCCTATTATTTATTGCGCCCCCCCTCCCCCCCAGTTACAGAGGGCACTTACCACCAGTAGTCATCCATGTCGACCCTATCCTTGGACCCTCGATCTTGTAACCGTTCCATGATCAGAGTATGTGTGTTTAGAATCTTGACCAAAACGTTCCCCTCCCTGCACGTAAGCGCAGAGAAGAGATGTAATAACCGAAATTATGATTGTGCCTTATGTCTGATCATCGCAGTGGAAAGTTTTTGCTACGGACCTACTTTTTTGAATTGTTTGTCGGATACATGGCACGATGTATGATAGTTGGAGATGTATGGAAGCCTCTAGATGCTCATTTGCTAGAAACCTCGCATCAGAGACCACAAATTCGTGAAGGTCTGCTGCATCTCTGACGGGGCAAATGAGATGGAAAATGATATCGTGATAGATGGCAGACAGCAGGTAGAGAAGTATTTGAGAAAAGAAGGATCGTCGTGTGTCCAACGAGGTTGTTCCTTTATTCTAATTCGACGCCTCGTAGGTGGGTATCAAACTGGAAACCTTTACCTTCGGTTTCCCCCCGGAACAAGTGCCGTTTTGCAAATCATGACGGCAGCATCTTTTTGTTCTTGCAGAGATCTGCCTAAAAAAGTTTTCGAGTTCCATACGGTGTGCCATTCGGGTGATCGGTTGTTTCTACTGATATCTCGGTTTTTTCCTTGTTCGATCCAAGGTTTCTTCTATCCCAAAGACATGGACCGGCCTTTGTTCTTCTTTGGTCCCTTCTTCTTGATTGCTATTCTATCGTCCATTTTGGCTCAACAGCTCCAAAAAAAAACCAAGAATGTAAGGACAGTTACCTGTCCCCTGACAACTTATCCCATAATCCCTCAACAAACGACAAACCGGATTTGGTACTAGAGATGTGTTGCTTTTCTCCCTCAGCTACTACGCCGGCCGGCGCAAGAGTGCTTCATCTACCGAAATATTGCGTATTGATGCCTGTATCCAGATAGGTTGTTTCCCTACAGAGATCCTTTCAATGACTTTCCAATTATATAACGCATCCTGCACATCTACTCCACTTGGAGTATGATTCTCATGCACGCAATACTGATAGAGTACCAGTACCGGTACAAACTCACATCTTCCCATCTACAGACACACATACAGTCGTGTCCCCCACTATATTACATTAACGCCATGCGTTTTTTCATTTTTCGAAAATCACATGGCCCTATGAGCTGGCAATGCTTGAGGGGAGGGGGTTTTCCCAAGGCCAAAGTTGATCTCGGATAGTATAGCGCGGGAGATGGAGGATAAACCCTGGGTAGTAAAACGCTTGTGGCGTACTAGAGAAAGTTCTTTCTGGATTCCATTAACCCAACGTCTACGCATAATCTGTGCGGGGATGGGTAAAACGGACCTTTAGTCTGGGGAAGTCTCGGGGTAACCTTTTGGAGATGAGGTTTACGATGACTTGTGGGGGAACAAAATTGCGGTTATCCTTGTTACCAGTCGCGGGGTACGGTACTGGCCAGAGATGTTCTTTGGCAGAGGTAGAGTACTAGCTGGTTCACCCGTCACGTCACGTACATACATGTAGTTGCGTTACACAGGGCGGATATGCCTGATTACCTACATACATACCTCACACAGATAATCATGCCCCCTCCTAAGAGACAGATACCTACAGCTAAGATGTCACTTTTCGCTGGTCAAGAAGTAGGTATCGTCAGCTAGCTTATCGTTTGTTGGTCATTAAGTGCATCAATTAACCATCAGCCCGGCCGGCCGTCTCATATTTTCTCCCCGCAAATGGCGAGACTCGAGTTCCACGAGGGGTCTTTCGCACGCCGAGAGCATTGTCCTCAGATATCTGACACATATAAACCCAGTCCCGTCAAGGCTTAGTGTCTCACGTGCTAGACCCCATTGCTCCCGAATTATCGGATGAACCTTAAGGTTTCCTCCTGCCCCACATTACGCAAGACGGTAACGGGACTTAAGAGAGACATCCTCTGCCGTTCGGGGAATAATAGTGTGATTACCCTCCCCGCAGTTTGGTAGGAAACTAAAGACATGTCACACGGTTCAGACTACAACAATCGACTATATCACCATCATCTCAATTTTCTCCCGCCCAAGGTTACTTTGTTTTTTATCTTTCAGCTGAGCTGTCCTTGGCAAGGAAGGAATGAGTAATCGGGGCTATATAACTGAATCTTGATATGGCGCACATGAAAAATAGCAGACATCATAACCTTGTTGGCCACATTAAAATACATATAGTTTCCCTAGGCAACAGCTCAGGCCTCTGCTAGTGGATTCAACAGAGCCCGAAGGGAGAAATAGACTTCGTTGGTGTGGAGGTTACGAAAAGAAGTGCGTATTCAAGCTGTGGTCTAGATAGGCTATGGTCGACTGGAAACATGCATTCAACAAATTCGGCAGGAATAAACCTTTGGTCCCTATATCTTGCGTTATATTCCACCCAGAACCACCCGGAATTCTCAGATGCGCGGCTTCGTGTGGTGAACTATAACTCACCTTGGCCCCGCGGGCCCCGTCGCAATCAATCTTATCCCAACTATCCAGCAGAAATAAAACCATCGACATAAAATTTCTCTTCGATCGTGGCATGCATATCTTGTGACTAAGCTGTTGATCGTCATTGGTTGAATGATGATAGCTGAGTCGAAACAAACCAAACAGCAGACGTATCTGTACTGACCCGGCACTGATGTATGGGTTGGGACAATTATCAAATCAATTTATGAAAACGTTAGCTGAATCACTCTCCCAACCTTTCTATCAATCATTTACAAGTGTCGACGTAACTAACCACCAGGATCATCCTCCAGCTATTAGCACGGGTTCCGTATATTTTCGGCGCAACAAACGATATCAAGGCACAAATCATACGACGTAGCACGCAGGAACTTAAGGCAAGGATAAAGGTTTTCAGCTGTTGCACAATAGTAATAAATGTTTCCAAGTGGTCCGTGTTTTTGTTTGGTTACCAAAAACGGCCGGCCCCGATCCAGAATTCCGGGTACAGTACCAACGAGGAGCAAGGGTTTCTAGGAGCCTGATGGGCTCAAGACGTAGGATTAAAGGCCCGGTCGCCTATGCGAACCCAAAAAGGTGCCTTGCAGCTATTTTCGGCACTAAATACTGTTCCGAGGTCACCATCGCAGCAGAGAGCAATATATCTCTATCATTAGAGCTCCCAGGTACGTTCCTGTGGGATGGATCTACATACTACTGGAGGGATTTTTATACCTTGAATGGCCCTCCTCTCGTCTCCAAACATGGTTTTAAACCAGTTTATTTTATCTTTCATTTATATACCGCCTGGCCGATATACAACCTAGTCATCTCAGCAGCATGTATATACAAGGAAGACAGAGTACGTACATGGTACGACATGGAGAGCTCAACCGCCCGCCTGTCCTATGAAAATCATTGTCAGAAACGAAGCTGCGTACATACACAAAGCGGGCCGCGGCCGGCGTCTCGGTTGGGACTTTTATTTTTTCTTCTTCGATCTATGGTTAAATTCCAGATTTCTCGGTCTTCATATCTCCCGGAAAAACTCTAGCGGAGTAGCTATATGCCGCATGGATGCTTTGCGCCGAGATAGAGTACTCTCTGCTGCAGGTTCTTTAATTTCTTTAAAGGTATCTTTCTATCAATTCTGCCTTTGCCGCAACTAAACACTTCAAGGCGAGGAGTCCGACCCCGGCGGCCAATGAGCTTTGAACAATGATTGTCAATACCAATACCGCCAAAACTCGAAAAATTGGCTATCTCCGTCCAGGGATTACCACTTGAGTGATTGGTTGAATGGCATCGATCTGCACCATAAGTTTCCCGTACAAGTAATTTTGATCTAGCCAATTTTTCGAGTTATGGCGGTAGGTACCAACAAGCATTCTGACCAGTTATTCCTACATAATCTAGCCCAATTGCGGGTCCTCCCTACTCGACTAGGGATTACTTGTAGAGTAAGACAGTGGGGATGCGCATCCAGGCATAAATGAGTAGAGTAACACTGTTGCTCTGATTTAAAGGTATGCATCTACTCTAGGTATTCTACTAATGACTATGCAATTTTCATTTCAGTACTCTAGAAGCGCCATGGGTGCTAACAAGTTTCAGAAGTTGCAGACAGGAAGCTAGGCCTATATGGGGTTCTTGGCAAAGTACGTCGTCAACTTCAGAGGACACGATGCTTCGTAACAGTGGACAGTGGGATCATGTACGTCCCGAGCCAGTGCCGGCCGAGTTCCGAGATATGTCTCAGTAAATTCCGAAAATTAATGAATCACAAGACGCCCAGCGTCACTTTACCCCGATTTAGTAGCGATACGGTAATACCTCACATGGAGTGGGGAAGATAAGGTTCTTACTCTACCCCAGAGCTGAGAATCGCAGCTAATATACATCTGTGTATCCTGGTTATTGAGCCTCATAAGTGCTTCTGGGTATTATCTTTTCTGAGGCGATTCTACAGGCACTCTAGATGGATACCAGTGAAACTATGCATACACTATTCGCAAGGCAAAAGTGCAATAACAGACTGAGTAGTGAGCACACTTAAGTACGAGCGAATTAACAAAATGCATAGCACAGAGAGTACAGTAGAACTCTGATCTACGCACGGCACTGTATCTCGCTATGTGGACCCAGATTAACTATTGGCGGAAATTGCTAGCATTAAACCCAAATACCCCAGAAGCTAGGGTGGTTAAAAAAACAGGAAATTAAATTTTCGTGAAGAAAGGGGATATAATGCTGTTGATCATAAGAGAGCACTTATGCATGGGGTAAATAAGGAATCCCGTTATTCATTTGAGGCGGGAACTCAACCTATGATGATATTTCTATGGATCGTTATTCCTTTCGTAAAGATGCTATGCAGTCTTCCGAAAACACTACAAGCCGAACACTGCTACTATCCGTTTCTAAAGTGATTCGATCCGATCTATGGAAAATTCGGCATATATCTAGCTAGAGAATCTCCATATATCCTACGGCAGTCTATTAATACTATGCCACCATCTTACCTATTACTTGTCAAGTAATATATTAACTCTATTCTCTGCAGATTGCAATCGTACCAACTTTAAAACTAGATAGGCGTCTACCTGCCATCAGCTTTTATGTGATTTCGATCATTACCATATTCAACAAATTCCATCAGGTTACATATATAGGAGGTGCCCTAGAGCCTGATCCGTCATGAACCTTTCAATGGGTATTCCGGTGAGATTTGGTAGCTAACTAAGAAGGCTTCTCCGCGGCGGCAGATCTCACATCAATACTCGCAATTTCACAGCGTTTCCGGACGCAACTGCTATTGCATACACAGAAAAAACCCGCCAAGGCTATCTTTTGTATGGCATGCAATAGTGGTCGCGTCCGGAAACGTCAAAAAACTACGAGTACTTTAGAGTGTGCCACACTAGACATCTCTAGTGATTACCCCAGTATATTGTACGTGGGATCACCCCAAGATATAAATCATGGCATTCTTCTAGAAACGAATAACCTTCGGCAAATCTCCGCCTCAAAATAAGGATACCAGTAGCAAGGCTAATCGCATATATATCCTCCAGTCCCTAATAGAGCCATCGGTTAAGCGGAGAAAAACGTGTGAAGTTCTTTAGGTCGATCACTAATTAACCAACATATATCCTTAGTGCTGACCATCCGGCTTTGGCTTCTAGAACAGTTTTTCTTTGCATTAACTAAGTCGCAAGCCATTCAGCCTTTGGCTACTGAGGCTCCATGGAGTGAGTGGGTAACACAAAGGAAAGGAAAGTGCCGTGCAGGGACCACGATCTTCGATATCCTTGTGGTAAACATAGCGTCATGTCATGTCTCAGCCGTTTTATTCAGGGGTAACAAACAGAAACAGTTCCTGCAGCTGTGCTAACGCTGGGCTTTTTTCCGGACTACTCAGTATGGTATGGCGTAAGTGGGGTTAGGGTTGTTGTGGATCTTTTATAAAAATATGTACATGTTGTCAAGATGTGTGAGTGAGGCTCAGGCAAAGAAGGCTTGTCGATCGTATATAGAAGAGGTAATTGCATTCCAGATAAAATCACAGCGCCCCAAAATATATTAAATCCTAGCGGGGAAAGGGACGAACCTATATAGTACAGTGGCAAGCTACATACGGTAGGTCGTGTAAAAATATATATTAACAAACCAATAACAGAATCTTTTATAATTAGTTAGTTAGACGGGATTATATAAACGAAGTAAATACGTAGTAGTAGCTATGAATAAAGAGAATTGTAGAACCTTGACAAAACAAACAGACTTTGAGAAAATTGAAAACATAGACGAGATGAAGTGAGCCAGTTATGGGCTATAGAGGACAACGACGATAAAGATTACATAACCTCATTAAATCCCGGTTTACCAGGTTTACCAAGGCGTTCAGTAAAAGGTCGTGAAAACAGGCGTTGCAGCGGGGCGATTTTTCACGACCTTTTATTGAACGCCCAAGTACATGACAAAGAATACCAAATTCATGTAAGATGAAGATACATGCACTTAATATATATACGGTAAGTATACAAATGAAGTAAATTAAGATCAGTACGAGAATATTCCAAGTCATCTATACAGTGAGAAAATAACGTAGACCATG